CCAGCTCAGAGAACTTCAGCACAGGAATATCTTTACTTCCCAATGACTGAGCAGGTGGATTTTGTCCTTGGTCCTTGGCTTTAACCCTTTCCATTTGTGCCTTTAGTGAGGTGCTGTGTTCCATCCTCCCAGAGGAGCAGCTGGATTCTCTGTCCCTGTGGATAAAAGCCACATTTCACTCTCCCTGCAGGGGCTCGGATCTGGCTCTTCATCGGCTTCATGTTGATGTTTGGATCCCTCATTGCTTCCATGTGGATTCTCTTTGGAGCCTATGTCACACAGAGTAAGTCTGCCTGTTTGCTCCTCAGGAAAGTGCTGCTCTTGCCAGCTTTTGGCAGGAAATCCACAGGGATGGAAGCCTGTGGTCTCTGGGAAATCCGAGCCACAGCATCCAGCTTTTAGTCTGAGATTGACACTGGAATATCCTGGTAAACCCACTGGAATACCCTGGTAAATTCCAGTAGCTGGAATATCCTGTTAAACCCAGCTCCCTATAGCTGGAATATCCTGTTAAACCCAGCTCCCAGTTACTGGAATATCCTGGTAAACCCAGCTCCGAGTAACTGGAATATCCTGGTAAACCCAGCTCCCAGTAACTGGAATATGGAATATCCTGGTAAACCCAGCTCCCAGTTACTGGAATATCCTGTTAAACCCAGCTCCCAGTAACTGGAATATCCTGTTAAACCCAGCTCCCAGTAACTGGAATATGGAATATCCTGTTAAACCCAGCTCCCAGTAACTGGAATATGGAATACCCTGTTAAACCCAGCTCCCAGTAACTGGAATATGGAATACCCTGTTAAACCCAGCTCCCAGTAACTGGAATATGGAATATCCTGTTAAACCCAGCTCCCAGTAACTGGAATATGGAATATCCTGTTAAACCCAGCTCCCGGTAACTGGAATATGGAATATCCTGGTAAACCCAGCTCCCAGTTACTGGAATACCCTGTTAAACCCAGCTCCCAGGAGCTGGAATATCCTGTTTAACTCAGCTCCCAGGAACTGGAATATCCTGTTAAACCAAGCTGCCAGTAACTGGAATACCCTGTTAAACCCAGCTCCCAGTGGCTGGAATATGGAATATCCTGGTAAACCCCGCTCCCAGTAACTGGAATATGGAATATCCTGTTAAACCCAGCTCCCAGTGGCTGGAATATCCCATTTAACCCAGCTCCCAGGAGCTGGAATATCCTGTTAAACCCAGCTGCCAGAACTAAAGGACTGAGTGTTTCCTCTGTTCCTCCTCTGCAGACACTAATGTGTACCCTGGATTAGCAGTGTTTTTCCAGAATGCATTAATATTTTTCAGGTAAGTTACCTGGGCAGATTCCCCTCTTTCCAGAGGGACTTTCCTGCTCCATACATTGATATTCCTGGAAAAGCATCTCTGTTTCCTGCTCCCCTTGCTGCAGAGCTGAGAAGCAAGGTTTGATTTGCCCTGGCCAGGCTCTTGGCTCCCTCCCTTGTTGGCCCAGCTGTCTCTGCTCCCCTGGATGTGCAGCTCTGGAATGTGGGTGGCCAGGGATGCACAGTTTTCTGGGTGAGGAATTGCCAGTGGTTTTGTTTCTGGAAAATGGGCATCACTCACGTCTCTCCTACAATCCCTTGGCTCTGCTCCCAGCAGAGCCAGCTGGGGGATCCCATTCTCCTTTTCCAGACTGTTTCACACCAGTGGCTCAGGTCTCTGGTACTTGATATTCCCTGTATTTCCCTTCACTGGCTGAGCTTGCAGTTTAAAGAGTGAGAATTAAATTTTTTTAAGAGCATGCTGGTGTGTTTTGTAACAGCACACTGGATTTATGTCAACTAATATTATTAAATCTATCATGTAACAGTTGAAAATCGATTTGGAGTCTCTAATAACTCCTTTCAGCTGTGGAATGCATTTTGCAATCCATGGATTTTAATTATTAAAGGCACTGTAAGTGTTAAACAGTTCCAAGATGAGTCACTGGAAGTTTCACCTCACCTCCTTTCTTCTTTCAATTCCTGGCTGATCCTTTTCCTCCAGCCCCACACCAGGTGCTTTGCAGTGACCTGCATGGGCTCTGGGAAATGGGGATATTCCTGCAGGAAACAGCAGCTCCTAAATCCCCTCTGGGATGGAGAAGGGAAGCTGCTGAAGGCAGATTTTGTGCCTGAAGTTTTTAGTTTTATTTAGAATCCCAGAAGGTTTGGGTGTGAAGGGACCTTAAATCCCATCCAGTCCCACCTGGGCAGGGACACCCTCCCCTCTGCCAGGTGGCTCCAAGCCCTGTGCAGCCTGGCCTGGGACACTGCCAGCTGTGGGGCAGCCACAACATGGGACATGTGGGATCTGGTTCTCTACCACAGACTCCAGATTCTCTCTGATTTGTTCAGAAAAATGGAATTGTTTAGGTTTTGTCCCAGCACATCCTGTCACGCTGAGCTGGTTCCCAGGCAGCAGAGTGAGACTTGCTGCTCTGGACTCCTTGAATTTCATAACTCCCAGGCCTTTCCTTCAGAAGGGCTGTGAAAGTGGATGTTTTTCTGTTTGGGCTTCAGCTGGCTCCCACAGTTCCAGCCATGCACAGGAAGCCAAATATAAACACCAAACCCAGATCCTGATCTGACTCTCACAGTTCATGGCTGGGCTGTTGACCTGCACAGGGTAAGATTTAGGGATACTGTTAAAATCACCCTATGTGTGCTCTGATTTTTATTTCTTTTCTCTTTTTTCCCCTCAGCACCCTGATCTACAAGTTTGGGAGAACAGAAGAGCTGTGGGGCTGAGCTCCCTTGGCCCACAGCTGCCACGTGGTTCTTGTCTGTAGATAATTCACAGTCCTTTGTCCTTGGTTTGCTTCCCAGCCTGGTGGAACTGAGACAATTCCAGGCTCTGTCTGAAGCTCTCCTGTGCCAGGACACACTTGTGAATGTGTACATAGGACAGGATCTGTCCTTTCCAAGGGAAGGGCAGGCTGCCAGCCTTCCCTGCTCAGCCTCCAGGCTTTCTCCTCCAGCTCCCTGCCCTCCCAGCAGCTTCTCCTGCACAGCTCCACCCGTGTCCGAGGCTTCTGTGAACAATAGTGAGCAAACAGGACAGAGCCCATCCCAGCCCTGCTGGGATAAGAGCTGATTTTAAACATTTTATATTATTGTTCAGGTAAAAATAAAGTAGATTTTTTTTTTTCCTTCTTCTTCTTTTGGTAAAAGGTTATGGGTTTTTAAGCAAGTCCCTACACTCAGCAGGTTGTGCATGGCAAAGCAAAGTATTCCTGACTTGTGATGGCTCTGGCACAAAGGACATTTGCTGGCACCACAGTCCTTGGAATTAATTTCATGCTGCTCAGTGTAAGAGATACCAGTTAGTATTTAATGTATTTCCTGATATTAGAATAAAAAAACTCCAACAAACTGATGCCAGTTGTACTTCCTATGAAGAATAAATGAATCAGAGCAGTGTCTTGCTACTCATGCCAGTGTCACTGTCTCCAGGGGAAGCTGTTTGCTGAGAAATGAGTTTTCCTGACCTGTTCCCTCTCTGCTTAAAAGGAAGTGGGCCATGGATGGATTTATTGCTCACAGTCCAACCTTGTAATAATTTCAAGTTTCAATAAATTTTAGGAGTGACTCATACCCAGTTTTAAGGATGCTATTGCCCTAGTTATAATGTATTTACCTCTTACATTTTATGGCTGTTTCCATTAATGAACTATTGGAATCCAGTTTCATCTCAGTGGAGTGAAACAGAAAGTGAGGCTGAGGATGTTTGATGTCCCTGGAGTGTCCCTGCAGATCCATTTGCTGCGGTGAGTCCTTCTCACGAGTTCTCTGTGGTTTTTTCTCTGTGGGTTTTACAGCATTTCCTCTCCCCTGGCTCCCAAGGCTTTTACAACTCCCCCATATCCAGGCTGCTGCCTCAGTGGTGTCAGGAGCTGAGTGGAAATGCTGTGCTGGGCTGGGAGCTGTTTGTCTGGGTGGGAATAACTGCAGGGGCAGGAGCTGGGGCCAGTGTGGAGCTGCCCTCGTGCCCTGGCTGCAGTAACCCCATCCCAGGGGTGCTCACTGCTGGCAATTCCAGCCTAAAAGCGAACCCAGGTGCTCAAACCAGTGAATTTTGTACAGCAACTCACCTTGGCACAGGGCCTGCACCACCCAGGAACGCCAGGCTTTGCTCCAGGAGCTTGGGAATGGGTTCTTTAGGGAGTCAGGAAGGAGCTTGGGCTGGAACTGATCCCTGAAACTCCTCCCAGTGCCAGGAGCTCGTGCCTGGACTGGGAACTTGAACTGCAAGCCAGGCTGGGGAGCTGGGGGTGCTCACCTGGAGAGGAGCAGCTCCAGGGAGAGCTGAGAGCCCCTGGCAGGGCCTGCAGGGGCTCCAGGAGAGCTGCAGAGGGACTGGGGACAAGGATGGAGGGACAGCACCCAGGGAATGGCTGCCAGTGCTCTGGGCACTTTTACAGCTCACAAGCCAAGGGGACAGGGGGGCTCAGTCACAACAACCCTGGAGTCACTCCCAGTAAATGCTTTTTAATTTAATAAATGTCTGTGTAAAAACATTTCCCAGCACAGTCCCTGCCACAAGCCCAGTGCAGGGTTTATTCAGGAATACACACAGATATTCCCAGGGGGTTTCACCTCATTTCTGTCCCTGGCTGAGTTCTGTGATTCCTTTTTGTGAGCTTTGTTCCCAGCCCAGCCTCAGTGTGGGTGCTCAGAGCAGAGCTGGTGCTGACCTGGCAATTCCTGCATGAGTCAGGAGTTCCTGGAGCTCCCTTGGCAGCAGCCTGTGCAATCCCAGGGATGGGATCTGTTCTGCCAGGGAGCACCTGATGGAGCTTCTGACAGCTGCTGGCCTGGGCTGTTCCTGGAAAGGCTGGGACAGTGGCACCTCAGCTCTGCCAGGGCCCTCCAACCAGGCACTTACAAAAAACCCACATTTTTTATTGGTTTTCAAACAATTTGTAGCAAACCCAGGGGGAAAAAAAGAGTCAAATACTCCCATTTTTTTTTTTTTAGTACAGAAGAGGTTCACTTATTCTTTGTGCTTTATTGGACACTCCAGACCCCACAGGGGGTGATGGGGGGGTTAACTTGGGCTCTTCTGCTTTAAGGCACTAAAACCAGAACTTCTCAGTCAACTTCTGCTGGCGCTCAGCAAGAGGTTTTAGTGTCTGACAGGGACTGATAATGTTGGAAAAAGAGTAAAATTCCTCTCAGGTCCTTTGTGGTGTGCAGGGCCCTGGCCTGGCTGCAGCAGCAGATTAAAGCTTCAGGAGGGTGGGAGCAGGCAGATAAGAACAGACCTCTCTGGGAGGGGCTCTTGGCACAGCTGCACCTCAGGAAAGTACCCACAAACTCCTCTTTAGTTTGTCCTGCACTTAAAATGATTCAGGAAAGCAGACTGGGGTGGGGATGATGGGAATGTTATTGCCAACAGAAACCAAGCAGTGTGAATGGAATTCACCTTGCAGCTTTCCACTCCCTGAAAATTCCCAGGTCACCCCACATCAATAAAGTGCAGTTATTCCTCCAAGCTGGGGTGGGAATTCACCCCTTTCAATCACCTGGCTTCAGGCAATTTAGTGTTCCTGCCCTTCCCCTTCCCCTTCCCAGTGCTTCTGGCACGGTGAGGAGCTGGGCAGAGGCCCCTGGAGCATCAGGGTCTGGGTTCAGGATGGTCCAGTGATCCCAGGGATGGTCCTGTGATCCCAGGGATTGTCCAGTGATCCCAGGGAGGTCGTGTAATCCCAGGGATGGTCCTGTAATCCCAGGGGATGGTCCTGTGATTTCAGAGACGGTCCTGTGATCCCAGGGGTTCCTGTTCAGGATTCTCCTGTGATCCCAGAGATTGTCCTGTAATCCCAAGGGATTTTCCTGTGATCCCAGGGGTTCCTGTTCGGGATTCTCCTGTGATCCCAGGCTCTGTTCCTCTGTTCAGGACTGTCCTGGCAGCAGCCTCTGGGCAGTCCAGGGCAGGTGACACTCACAGGGGTGGCCCTGCAGTGGCTGCCCTGTCCCTGCAGGTGTTGGGTGAAGGATCCTCACCCTCCTGGCCGGGTCCCTCTCCAAGCACAAGGGCCTGGGGCTCCTCCTCAGCAGGACTGAGCTCCTCCAGGTCAGCCAGGCCAGGGTCCCTCAGGAACTGGGAAAAACCACAGAGCACCAGGTTAGGTCCTGTTAGAAACCCCAGAGCCACCAAACTGCTCCAGCCCAGAACCCACAGCAGGAGCTGCCACCTGCATATCCCATCCTGGGCTTCCTTACAACAAACAAGGAAAATGTTCAAACACCCCCCCTTATTTCTGTGGGCAAAAGAAATCAATTATCCCTCCAAAATTATCCCTTCAGGTGAGTTAGAGCAGCTGCAGTTCCTCACTGGCTGTTTGGGGTTTTTTTTAATAGATTTTGGCCCATCTTTCCATGCCAGCTGGAATCCCTCTGAGTCAGGAGCAAGCCCCTGGCAGTGGGGGATGCTCACTGCAGGAATGCAGCACCTGCAGCAAGGGCACCCCAGCTCTGCCCTGCCCAGAGCCAGCCCAGGCAGCTGCAGCTTCTCCTGGAGCCCTCCAAAACCAACCCAGCAGCTCCCCAGGGACAAACCAAACAAAGGCTGGTGACCACAGCAGGCAGCCCTAGGAAAATGGCACAAAATAAATCAGGTTTGATCAGGCTCCACTTTCCCTGCAGCCACCACAAGGCCAATGAGCTCCTTTCCCCTCTGTCCTGCCCCAGCCCAGGCTGATCCCTTCTATTAATCCACATTTTAAACACTCTAGAAATGCACATTTTAAACACTCTGCCAGCTCCCTTCTTCTCCCCTCTGTCCTGCCCCATCCCAGGCTGATCCCTTCTATTAATTCACATTTTAAATCCTCTGCCAGGCCCTGCTGTGCAGGGGATCCACTATTGCTGCTCATTAATCTGGGAAATTCAGATTGAGAAATTCAGAACACAGGAGGAGCCTCAGTCCTGGCAGGTGCTTTTCATGACAGGCTGCACTGCTTAATACCCTGCACAATTCTTTTTTATTATTATTTTAATACCCAGCACAACTTTTTCATTATTAAGACCCTGTACAATTATTTTAAAAATTATTTTCAAACCCAGAACAATTATTTTAAAACTATTTTAATACTCTATATAATGAGCTTCTTACTTACTTTTCTTATTTTATTATCCTCTAAAAAGATGATGATGATTATTATTATTATTATTGTTATTATCATTATTCCCTGTACAAGGATTATTTTATTATTATTAATACCCTGTACAAGGATTTTTTATTATATTAATACTCTGTACAAAGATTTTTTTACTATTTTCATACCCTGTACAAGGATTTTTAAATTATTATTATTATTTTAATACCTGCACAAGGATATTTTATTATTTTAATATAATTATAGAGATCTTTTATTCTTAATACCCTGCTCAATTATTTATTATAGATTTTAATATCTTCTACAAAGAGTTTTTAATTATTTTAATAGCCTACACAATTTTTTTACTGTTTTATTACTACAACTTTTACAAGGATTATTTTTCTATTTTAATACTCTGCACAACGAATTCTTTTTATTATTTTAATACCCTGTACAAGTGTATTTTACTATTTTAATAAAATTACAAAGATTTTTTAAACTATTTTAATTATTGTACAAGGATTTTTTTTTCATTATTTTCCTACCCTGCACAAGGATTTTTTTACTTTTTTAAATAATTACAGGGATATTTTTTTACTATTTTAATCATTGTACAAGGATTTTTTTCATTCTTTTCATACCCTGCACAAGGATTTTTTTACCTTTTTAATATAATTACAGGGATATTTTTTTACACTATTTTAATCATTGTACAAGGATTTTTTTCATTATTTTCCTACCCTGCACAAGGATTTTTTTACTATTTTAATATAATTACAGGTATATTTTTTACACTATTTTAATCATTGTACAAGGATTTTTTTTCATTATTTTCATAGCATGTACAAGGATTTTTTACTATTTTATTATAATTACAGGGATATTTTTTTTACTATTTTAATAATTGTACAAGGATTTTTTTTTCATTATTTTCATAGCCTGCACAAGGATTTTTTACTATTTTAATATAATTACAGGGATATTTTTTTTACTATTTTAATCATTGTACAAGGATTTTTTTTCATTATTTTCATACCCTGCACAAGGATTTTTTTTTTACTATTTTAATATAATTACAGGGAATTTTTTTACACTATTTTAATCATTGTACAAGGATTTTTTTTCATTCTTTTCCTACCCTGCACAAGGATTTTTTTACTATTTTAATATAATTACAGGGATATTTTTTTACACTATTTTAATCATTGTACAAGGATTTTTTTTTTATTCTTTTCCTACCCTGCAGAAGGATTTTTTTGCTATTTCAACACACTGCACATGGATTTTTTCCCCTAAATGAGATGCCCTTCCCTGGACAAGTGACCCCTATGAAATGCCAGCTGGGGCAGCACAAGGACAGAAATTATTCACTCTGGGTTCCTTCAGCCCATGGCTACAAAAAGCTGGGAATTCTCTTCCAGAACCACAGGAGCTCTGGCAGACACAAAATATTCCCCTCCACGAGCTGCACACAAATCAAACCTTTAAAAACCAGAATTCTATGCTGAATAAGAACTTTTACATCAAAGCTCTGCTTGAGGGCAGCTTCTTGTGCAAGGGAAAAAGAGGAAGAAGAGCAGCACTGAAACCATTGTGGTTTAGCCCAGAAATGTCTGAGCTACCAGGGGGAGCTTTTCCTCTGAGTCCTGCTAAAAACAAAAGAGGAATTGCCCAGGAACAGCCCCTGCAGATCATCCTGAGGTGTCACAATAACCACAAAAATAAAAATATTTCAGTAACCTGGGCTGGCCTGTGCAGAGCTGCTGCAGCCCTTGTGACACAAAACCTCTGAGCCCCAGCCTGGGGCTGACAAGGACTGACAGAAAGAGTGGCAAAGAAATAAAAATAGTGGCAAAAAATGGTGACAAAGAAATACAAACAGTGGCAAAAAATGGTGACAAAGAAATAAAAACAGTGGCAAAAAATAGTGACAAAGAAATAAAAATAGTGGCAAAAAATGACAAAGAAATAAAAACAGTGGCAAAAAATAGTGCCAAAGAAATAAAAACAGTGGCAAAAAATGGTGACAAAGAAATAAAAATAGTGGCAAAAAAATAGTGACAAAGAGAGAGGAGCAGGAACCAGGAGCAGTCAGGATGGGATTGCCAGGAAAGCAATAGACTGATAGAAAGAGTGACAAAGAAATAAAAATAGTGACAAAAACATGGTGACAAACAAATAAAACAGTGGCAAAAAATGGTGACAAAGAAATAAAAACAGTGGCAAAAAATGGTGACAAAGAAAGAGAAGCAGGAAGCAGGAGCAGCCAGGCCAGGTTTGCCAGGAAAGCCCAGCCAGGCACAGGAAGGAGCCCTGAGCTCAGCAAAACAGGAAAGGAGTGGGAGATGACAAAAAGCACATTTTGAGCCATCATTGCTCATCTCTATTTCTTTTCATTGCTTTGGGGGATGCTCCCCCCTGTTCCTCTGCTACAGGAGAAACCCCACAGGCCCCACGTACCTCCTTGAAGTGGGATGGGATTTCCAGAGGGGGCTGAGCCCAGTGTTTGAATTTGTGCTGGTGTTTCCACAGGAACAGCAAAGCAGCTGCCACCAGCTGGGCAAGCACCAAGGCCAGGACAAACAGGGGGATGATGTAACCAGCTCGGGTTGCCTCTGGAAAAGAAGGACAAAAATCCAAATACATGTGGCAGGTTCACATTTATGGAATCATGGAATGCTTTGGGTTGGGAGGGACCCTAAATCCCACCCCTGCCATGGCAGGGACACCTCCCAGTGTCCCCAGTGCCCAGCCTGGCCTTGGGCACTGCCAGGGATGCAGGGGCAGCCCCAGCTGCTCTGGGCACCCTGTGCCAGGGCCTGCCCACCCTGCCAGGGAACAATTCCTCATGGCCAAGATCCCACCCAGCCCTGCCCTCTGGCACTGGCAGCCATTCCCTGGGTGCTGTCCCTGCAGGCCTTGTCCCCAGTCCCTCTGCAGCTCTCCTGGAGCCCCTGCAGGCCCTGCCAGGGGCTCTGAGCTCTCCCTGGAGCTGCTCCTCTCCAGGTGAGCACCCCCAGCTCTCCCAGCCTGGCTGCAGCCCTGGGATCAACTCCTTTATCCCATTTTCCAGCAGGATTAGGAAGCAAAAGGAGAAGGTACCACACTCCCTCCATCCCTGGCTGAAATCTCCTGATTCTTTTGCCACTGATGCCAAAGTCCCCTGGTGCTCCCAGCACTGCTGACACACTGGGGGTGACAGGGCCAGTCCAGGTGATGCAGGACCTGTGTCCCACCCCCTCCCACCCCACACAAACCCCACTGCCAGTCCCTACCACTGAGGGCAGTTCTGTGGCACTGTGGGACACTTGGCTCCCCTTCCAGCAGGTGACCTGAGTAAATCCTCAGCTGCACTTGAACACTGAAGCAATAAAGTGTTGACTCCTTCAGATTTCCAATTTGGAATAGTGTCTTGCTTTCACTTAGCTTCTGCTGGAAAGACACACACACAACAGAAAAGGTGTTGCTGTGAAAACCAGACCAGTTTGCAACACAAATATCCCTCCCCCATTTCAATTTCTCATTCAAGAAGCCCAACTTTTATTTTTCCTCGCTCAGCTTTCCCAAACAACAGAAGCAGTGGAATATTTCAGTATTTCTGGGAATTTTGATGCAGCTTCTGCAGCAGATCAGGCAGGGAGCAAAACACAGAGAAATGGAGGGCAAAAGGAAACCACAGTGACTCCTTTCCTGGCTGTCAGCTGAAGGTGTTCTGTGTGTGAGAAAAACACACGGTGCTGCACGGCAGGAAGGAAGTGGAGATGATTTAACAGGGACTTTGAGGCAGAAGCAGGTTGTAAATAAATGTTTTTGCTTCTTTTTTTTAGATGTTTGGCTTCAGATTGACGTCCTTTGGAAGCTTCCTCTTTTTTAAATTTTTTTTCTTTTTTTTAAAAGCCTGACTTCAACAGCTCCCCTGCACCTCTGGCCTGTCCAAACACAATTCCCAGGCAGGAGCAAGAGCAGCACGTGGTGATCCCAAAGCTGTGGGGCTCAGGATGAACAGGGATGATCCCAGCTCACCCCAGCTCATCCCAGCAGCTGCTCCTGCAGCTCCCAGCACAGCAGAGCAGGAGGGGCTTCCCGAGTTTCCCCAAGTGCTGAGGGAACTGTGGGGTGCAAAGTCACCTCTGGCAGCAGCTCTGTCCCTGGATGTGCAGGGGGTTGCATCTCTTTCCAAGCAGAGGGAGGAAGTTCCCAAGTTTGGAAGTGCAGCAATCCTTGTGCCAAGGCCAGAACTCTTCACCCACAGCCCCTGTGGTGACCCTCACTGAGGGTCACACAGAACACTCTGAATTTCTGTCCCCACTGCTGTCCTGCCAAGGGACACTGACTCCAGCCCTCAGCCCCCAGGCACCAAGAACAGATGTGAGAGAATTCCTACCTTTTCTGTGGCACTGGTGGTGTTGTCCCAGTAGGACACGAGGTACTGGAGGATGTCCCCAGGCTCGGGTGGGAAGGGGGGGCTGACACTGATGAGCAGAGAGCCAGGGCTGGCACTGACATTGTTCACCCTGGGGGGGCCCAGAGTGGCTGAAAACAAACAGAGAGAGCAGGGAAACCCTGGGCTGCACAGCTGCCTCCAGCCCCACAGAATCCCAAATCCCCGGGGCTGGCCCAGCCCTGCCAGCCCATGCAGTGCCAGCTGTGCCCCATGGGCACCTTGTCCCCAGCCCAGAGCACTCAGTGCCACCTGCAGGGGACACCTGCAGGGCTGGGCACTGCAAAGCTCCCTGGGCAGCCCCTGCCAAGGCCTGAACTCCCTTGCCATGGGCAAATTGCTGCTGCTGGCCAAGCTGAGCCTGCCCTGGCCCAGCCTGAGGCCGTTCCCTCTGCTCCTGTCCCTGTGCCCTGGGAGCAGAGCCCGACCCCCCCGGCTGTGCCCTCCTGGCAGGGACTTGTGCAGAGCCACAAGGGCCCCTGAGCCTCCTTTGCTCCAGCCCCAGCCCCTGCCCAGCTCCCTCAGGGATTCTGCAGCCCCTGCCCAGCTCCCTCAGGGATTCTCCAGCCCCTGCCCAGCTCCCTCAGGGATTCTGCAGCCCCTGCCCAGCTCCCTCAGGGATTCTGCAGCCCCTGCCCAGCTCCATTCCCTGCCTGGACACTCTCAGCAAACATCCCAAATATCGACAGCTCAGGAAAGGGCAACATTTCCTCATCTACTTTATGCATTTACAATATTTGCTTAACTTTTCACTAAATATTAACCAATAGCTGATGCTCTGAAGTGTCTCAGTTTATCTGCAGTTCCTGGCCATAAAATCATTATCTTTTCTCTTCCTTTGATCAGCCTGCCACACCTTCCATGCTCCCCAAAACCCCACCACTGTTTGGGCCCTAGAGGGAGAGAGGAATAATGAGTGTTCCCCTCCTTGCTTGGATGTCTCCATGTGTCCATCAGGATAATCATGGTGACCTCCAGTGCTCCAGGGTGTAAATCATGAAAATACCAATAGAGTGCTGTCAGAGTTCTCATTAACAGCCAAAATCACTCCTTGCATGCGCCAGCTCCTCACTGTGCCTCAAATCCAGTGACTATGATCCTCCACTGAAGGAGGAGCCATGGATTTGTTTTTTGGGAACTGATCTCCAGGGCAGTGACACAAGAATGACCCCAGAATGTTCCTCCTCTCCCCCCAGGCCTCTGCTTTGTCCCACGCTCCCATCAGCTCAGTGCTGTCCCAGCCTCTGAGGATCCCAATCCTGCCCCACAGCCTGGGGATTGGGACAGGATTGGGATCCAGGTTGGACACTGGGGCTGGAGCAGCTGGGACAGTGGGAGGTGTCCCTGCCATGGCAGGGGTAGCTCTGGGTGGGATTTAAGCTCCCTCCAGCCCAGTCTGGGATGCCATGACTGCACACTGATTATTTTGCATTTAGAAATGAGTCATTCCCCCTGCCAGCCCCAAAACCACTCAAAAGGCCCTTCAATAAATATCCCCTTTATTCCTCTGAACTCATCTGGCCTCTGTCCCAGCTCCTTAGGGCACCCCTGTCCCAGCAGAGCCTGGGAAACCCAGAGAGGCAGCCCAGGGAGGGGCACCCCTGTCCCAGCAGAGCCCAAAAAGCCCAAAGAGGCAGTAAGCTGTCCCTAGAGAGCCCCTGGAGCAAGGCTGCTCCCCAGCACTCACTTTTGTCTCTGTCCCAGCTCCTTTGGGCACCACCCCTGTCCCAGCAGAGCCCAGAAAGCCCAAGGAGGCAGCCCAGCTGTCCCCAGAGAGCCCCTGGAGCAAGGCTGCCCCCAGCACTCACTGTTCTCTCTGTCCCAGCTGTCCCCAGAGCCCCTGGAGCAGGGCTGCCCCCAGCACTCTCTGTTCTCTCTGTCCCAGCTGTCCCCAGAGAGCCCCTGGAGCAAGGCTGCCCCCAGCACTCACTGTTCTCTCTGTCCCAGCTGTCCCCAGAGCCCCTGAGCAGGGCTGCCCCCAGCACTCACTGTTCCTCTCTGCCACGAAGGCAGGGCAGTGTGCCCAGGCCGATGCCAGCGTGCCCAGCTCCGCGCGCACCCGCAGCAGGATCGTCCAGCGCCGCCGCTGCAGCTCGGGGGGGAACCTGCACTGGGGCTGGGGGCTCTTGGCACAGCCCAGATCACTCCAGTTCCTGTAGGACCATCTGCAGAGCACAGCAAACACCATCCCTCAGGCTGAGGGTGGGATGGGAGCAGAGGGGTGGGTGTTCTACACCAGTGTGGGGTCTGGCACTGGGGAAGGGGGTTTACAGCACCTCTGTGAGCCAGAGAGGTTGGTAAGAGGATCCATGGTAAGAGGATCCATGGTAAGAGGATCCATGTTTACCCCTGAAAGAGTTTTCACAGAACTCACAGAATCCCAGAGTGACCAGGTTGGGAGAGACCTCCAAGGCCATGGAGTCCAGCCCAGCCCCAACCCCTCAACTGAACCCTGGCACCCAGTGCCACATCCAGGCTTTGTTAAACACACCCAGGCATGGGGACTCCACCACCTCCCTGGGCAGCCATTCCAGAACTTTCTCACCCTTGCTGGAAAAACCTTTTCCCTGCTCTCCAGCCTGGATTTCCCTTGGTGCAGCTCGAGGCTGTGTGCTCTGGTTGTGTCAGTGCTGCTGGAGAAAGAGCCCAGGGCCAGCTGAGCACAGGCCCCTTTCAGGAGCTGTGCAGAGTGAGGAGGGCAGCCCTGAGTCTCCTTTGCTCCAGGCTGAGCACCCCCAGCTCCCTCAGGGCTTCCTCACTCACAGGGTTTGTGCTCCCAGCCCCTCTCCAGCCTCCTTGGCCCCTCTGCATGTGCTCAGGGTCCCAAGGTCATTGACACAGAAACCAAGAATGAAAGAAGGATAAACAAGAGAAATCTGCACCTGCCTGTTCCAAAGAGCACTTTGTTTGTCTCTCCTGACCAATGAGTAAAATGTAAACTTCTGAGCTTTGTAAGAATGTGTAACAAGCATGCATGCCAGAATAAAAACAGCTTGAAGCCTTCTGAAAATGGAGTGTGTTGCTTTGTTGCTTTGTCTCCATCTCAACTACATCACATCATTGTCTGTTGAAACCAGGTGGGGCAGTGTTCTTTATCTCACCCATGATTTTTATCAATGCCAGGCAAAGATTTTAAGGGGATTTACCTGCCCTTGAAAAAGAGATATTTTGATTTGGCACTGAAAAAGTCAGAGGATTTGCAAATTGCATTACTGAACTTCTCAGGTGTTTGTTCTATTCACTTTCCAGGCTGTAGCAAGCAAAACTGAGCTTCAGAGGAAATCCCATCTTAAGTGCAGTGCCTTTAAATGCTGTAACAGCATTTACTGATGGCTCTGGGAAAACACACAAATCAGAACTACCATGGCATGACCAGACAACTCAAACATGGGAATCAGACATTCAAACAGCCAAAGGTTCACCTCCAACTGTTGAATTAACAGCAGAAGTTACAGATATCCCTGATAATTCCAGGGGGATATCCTCTGAGAATGGGCCAGCTGTTAAAACCAGGGGGGCAGTTTTCCTTATCTCTTCCACAACCCATCCCTCATAACTCTGGGGAAATATCTTCTGTTCATGGGCCATTAATTATCAAATACCCTCTGTCCATGGCCACTGAGTGTCCCTGCAGGGCTGATCCAATCCCATCATCCCATGGGAGATGCTGCATTGCCCAGGGGAGGAGCCAAGCATTCCTACCTGGATCCAATCTGAGCTTTGGGACAGCCCAGCAGCCTTTGCCCAGTGCATTGCCAGAGGAGCAGCTTCTGCTGCCCTGCATGGCCAGAGGGAGCCCAGGCCCATCTGCAGCAGCCCTGGAGCTGCAGAGGAAAACTCCCCCCTTGTGCAGGATCCCTGCTCCAGCAGAGCCACAGCTGGCACTGCAGGAGGGCTGAGCCCCCATGGGATGGGGCTGTGCCACCCCCTGACACACAGGGGACAGGGCATGGGCTGACCCTGGCAGGGTTGGTTTGTGTTACTGCATTTTTATTTTATTTTTCCTAGTAAAGAACTGTTGTTCCTATTCCCATATCTCTGCCTGAGAGCTCCTTAATTTCAAAATTATAATAATTTGGAAGGAGGGGGTTTGCGTTTCCCATTTCAGGGGAGGCTCCTGCCTTCCTTACAGGCACCTGGCTGTTCAAACCAAGGTAATAAACCAAGAGCAGGCAGTGCAGCCACCTGGAACACCACACCCCCTCCCAGCCACTTCTGGTGAGACAAGAATGTGTTACACAGCTCTGGCTTCACATGGGTTAAACTAACCCCAGGGCCCACCCAGCTCCTCAATATGGGGAAAATTAAATTGCCCAGAGAGAATCAGGAAAGGCCAAAATTCTGTGCAACATTTCTGGGTGTCCTCAGGGCTGCAATCTCTCCTCAGCTCAGAGGACACCTCATGGGCCAAGGGCCTGTCATTCACCAAGAGCTGCTCTTGGAGATACATAAAAACATCTGTGATAAAAAACACCCTCTCATTCTGTGCTTATTCATTTTCAGGGTTTCTGGGCTTTTTAAAACCAGCTGTTCTCCTGGATTAGAACAAAATGAGTTGGTTTTATTTACTGTTTACTCACGTTCTGTACTGGGCTGTGTATAGCACTGTGCCATTCTCCACTGGAACAGGAGACCACCTCAGCAAACTCTGGAAGTTGTAGGAATAAACCTCCACATTTTTGGGGGCTGGTAAATAAGGAGGAGTTTCTAAAGGAAGAAGAGAAATAAAAACTTATTGAAACATTCAAGTGCACAGTAGCCAAATTTCAGTCTCCAAATTCCATCACCATGTATTAAATTTTCACTGCTTTGCAGGTAAAACCATTTCCCCTCCTTCTCCTTCTGTTTCCAGGGGCTCTGGCACGTTCAGGTGGGCAGGGGCTGGCACAGGGTGCCCAGAGCAGCTGGGGCTGCCCCTGCATCCCTGGCAGTGCCCAAGGCCAGGCTGGGCACTGGGGACACTGGGAGGTGTCCCTGCCATGGCAGGGGTGGCACTGGGTGGGCTCTGAGGTCCCTCCCAGCCCAAACCAGTGTGGAGTTCTGTGTATCCATGAATTCCCACTCCCTGTTTTGTATTCATTCCATAAAGAACATAAAGCTGAAAGTACCGAGCCCAGCACAAAACCACCAACCCCACCCAGTCCCCCATGAAGCCATAAATGAGGGTCCCAGAATCCCAGAATCACCTGGAGCCCTTTGGGATCACCCAGTGCCACCCCAGCGCCACCAGCATCACCCCAATCCCTGTCCCCAGGGCCACATCCAGACTGCTCTGGGACAATTCCAGGGACTCCAAACCTCCCTGGGCAGCTCAGCCAAAGGCCTGGCCACTCTGAGAGGAAAAAATTGTTTCTAATTTCTGATCTGAACCTCTCCTGGTGCCATTTGAGGCCATTTCCTCTTCTCCTTTCCCTTGGGACACAGCAGCAAAGCCTGACCCCCCTCACTGCCCCTCCTGGCAGGGACTTGTGCAGAGCAATGGGGTCCCCCCTGAGCCCCTTTCTGCTCCTCACAGGAACATCCTTTTTTTTTCTGGAAGGTTTTCCAGTCCCTCCTCTGCCCACTGGTGATCACAGCAGCTGCTCTGTTCTACCTGCAGCTCACCTTTGCCTCCCTGCACAACCCAGATGGGCACCCTGTGCCAGCCCTGCCCACCCTGCCAGGGAACAATTCCTCATGGCCAAGATCCCACCCAGCCCTGCCCTCTGGCACTGGCAGCCATTCCCTGGGTGCTGTCCCTGCAGGCCTTGTCCCCAGTCCCTCTGCAGCTCTCCTGGAGCCCCTGCAGGCCCTGCCAGGGGCTCTGAGCTCTCCCTGCAGCTGCTCCTCTCTTTTTCCCCCCAAGTTCCTCCTGCTGACCCTGAGGTCATTCCAGTGAAATCTTCCAGGAGCCAGCTGGAAAAAAGCAAACCCTTCAGGGAGACGTGGTGGCCCTGAGGAACCTCTGGTTGTGCCAGCTTTGGAAGTGATCTCACCAGGCAGGAAATGGCAGGAGCTCTGTGGTGGGGAGGGCCCCAAACCCAGATGTGAAAAATGGCTATTTTATGATTGGCTTTTGGCAAATATTAAAATTAATATTATTCATGTTATGTTAGAAAGTTATACTGTGTTAATTTTCTTAAGTAGTGTGTTAAATATAGTTTTAGGTTATAACAAAGTGTTAAAATAGAAACTCTGCTATGTAAGATACTTTTTTAAAGAAAGGACTCACACTGAGATAACAGCCACAGGACACCTGAATCTTTCAGAGAAAGAGAATTTATTGCTCCATTATCAGGAGAAATGAACTCTTCCTGCCTCACTCAGCCATGATGACACCGTCAGGGTTCAGAGGAAGCAGCTGACACTGCCCAGCCAGAATCCTGTGTTTGAATGGAATTTATGCATCATGGATGGGGTGTAGGAATATGCAACAGGCTGTTGCTGTTAAGGGTTAATCCTCTGTTAACGTGGAGCCTTTTTCGGGCTTGTGCTGCCCAGAAAAGGCACCTGGACTGTCTGTAACTCTTTGTTCTTATTGTCTCATATTGCCCTAATCCAAATTGTCTAAATTATTATTACTCTAATTTTTATTACTATTTTTATAATCATTTTAATATCATTAAACTTTTAAAAATTTTAAAAATAAGGCACTGCAGCAGCCACCCTCAGCCTCCAGCTCCTGCTCAGGAGGGAAGAGGGAAGAGCTGTGGGACACGAAAGGTCAGACTGAGAGCCCAGGACGAGGAGGAAGAAGCTGCCAAAACATGGCCAAAAAAGGGACAGAGCCAGGCAGGGCCTGGAGGGCAGCCACAGGCCAAGAGGAGGGAAATGGGGGTGGTGGAGAGGAGGAAGGGCTGGGGAGAAGGGAGGTAGCAGCTGGAGCCAGGGAGGAACAGCAGAACCAAAACCTCTGCGGGACACGGCCCAGGCTACAGGGTCAGCCCCAGCAGCCCTGGGATCTCTCCTGGGTCCTGCAGGGGAAAAGGTTTTCCTTCTGCAGCCCATGTGCTTTTCTGGAGTGACTCCCTCCACCATCAGAGTCACAGGACGAGGGAATGGTGGGGGTTGGAAGGGACTTTACAGATCACCCAGTGCTTCCCCCATCCAGCCTGGCCTGACCAAGAACTGTGACTAAATACCCCCCACCACAGCAGGTAGTTTTTAACTCTGAAGAACAGAGTCTCCTAAGACACAGTCTGTTAATTTTTACACCAACAAGATCAGAAGATCAAGCTTGACTTGAGTCAAATTCCGGCCCAGGCTTCCGTGGAAATGCGGATTCCTGTTAAAAAGTTTGTGGTTTTTTGATTTCTACATCAAGTTGCATTGAACCCTAAGTCCAAAGTACCAAATAGTGAGTTGAGCTCTAGCTTTCCAAGAAAAGCTGTGGCTGCCCCGTTGCTGGAAATGTCCAAGGCCAGCAGGCTGGAGCAAGCTGGGACAGTGGAAGGTAACCCTGCCCCCGGCAGGGGTGGAACAGTGTGACCCTAAACACGGCCAAGCCAGGCCGTGCTTCCCTCAAAGTTTAATCAGCCTGTCAAGAATTTCTCAGCCTCATCTCTCAGCAGCTCTCAGAACACACACACTGCCTCAGGCCACACGTGCCTGCTGCAGCTTTGCAGACCTGAGGGAGATTCCTCACAGCTTCCCAGTCCATTCACCTCCCAGGTGTGAGGAAGGCCCCCAGGGAGCCGCCTCTGAATTGGTGAGAAATTTTCACGCTCCAGTCCCACGGATCCTTTCTTGCACTCTCGCTGCTGGTCTGGCACGTGGTGAGGTATCTCACACCATCTGTGCCCTCAGAGCTCTGTCACACTCTGTTCTACAGAATCCCAGGGAGCTCTGAGAACCAAACACCACCGGCAGCGACTCCCACCACACCTTAAATCGAGAGCAATGAAGGACAGGGGGAGATGGGATCTTGGCAATGAGGAATTGTTCCCTGGCAGGGTGGGCAGGCCCTGGCACAGGGTGCCCAGAGCAGCTGGGGCTGCCCCTGCATCCCTGGCAGTGCCCAAGGCCAGGCTGGGCACTGGGGACACTGGGAGCACCTGGGACAGTGGGAGGTGTCCCTGCCATGGCAGGATGGGATTTAAGCTCCCTCCAGCCCAGTCTGGGATCCCCTGGCTGCACACTGCTTATTTTGCATTCAAAAATGAGTCATTTCCCCTGCCAGCCTCAAAAACATTGCAAAGCTCATCGAAAACACTGCAGAGATTATCAAAGACACTGCAGAGTTCGCCAAGAACACCCCCGGGCTCATGTGCCCTCTGAGGGCTGCCACGAGGGCACCACGAGGCTGAGGAGCTGCTTCCCCAGCACCCAGGGAAATCTGAATTTCTGTCAGATCCCTCCCTCGCAGAGCAGGGACTGCAACTGCTGAAATCACATGCTCAACTTCCTCCTCATCTCCAGTTTGCATGGCCTAAAATAACAACATGAGCGCTTCAAACACAGCACCCACAGGTCCAAGCACCCTCAAAACCCCAAACTCCCTCAGCCAGGGGAAGACAGAGAGGTCCCTTCCCACTGGCAGGGGTTTGCACTGGGCTGGTTCTTTCAGAGCAGCAGCCTAAAGAGGCTCAGATTGTTTTTTCCTGCTGTTCAGAGAATTCAAGGTACTTCAAGCCGTGAGTCAGAACTTTCACAGCAGAGTGTGAAGCCACAATCACAGCCAGTGAAAGCAGCCTGGCTTGGGTGACCCCTCCATGTCCCAGCTCCTGCTGCTCCTCAGGCATTCCTGATCCCTTCCCCTGCATCAGCCCCCAACAACCATCCTGCTGCCCTGGCAGAACAGGAATCTGGGCTTTGGGGGATTTTGTGCGGACTTTTCCTGTTCCAGTGCAACAAAGTGGCTTCTCAGGAATAGCGCAAGATTGGTTTCCATGGCAGGGGGCTGGAATGAGACCAGCTACAAGCTCCTTTCTGATCCAATCCATTTTGGGATTCTGGAATTCCCAGAGCTCCCTGGGAAGTCCCTCGGCTGCTGATGGGATGAAACCGAGCAACGCTGACTGCAGGAGGCCCTGCCCTCGTTTGCCTCAGTCCAGCCACTGGGTCTGGAACAACCAGAGAGCCCCAGAGGGCTCACCAGGGCCAGGCTGGTCAGCCAGGCCGTGGGACACGCTGAACTCATGGAAAGCCTGAGTGCCAGAGTGAGCATCACATTCTGTGCACAGCTCGCTCCATCGTGGAGCGGTTTTGGTTGGGAGGAACCTTAAACATTATCCCACCCTACCCCTTCCTACACCTCCCACTGTCCCAGGTGCTCCCAGCCCCAGTGTCCAGCCTGGCCTTGGGCACTGCCAGGGATCCAGGGGTTTAGAATCACAGAATCCCAGACTGATTTGGGTTGGGAAGGACATTAAATCCCACCCAGTGCCACCCCTGCCATGGCAGGGACACCTCCCAGTGTCCCCAGTGCCCAGCCTGGCCTTGGGCACTGCCAGGGATGCAGGGACAGCCCCAGCTGCTCTGGGCACCCTGTGCCAGGGCCTGCCCACCCTGCCAGGGAACAATTCCTCATGGCCAAGATCCCACCCAGCCCTGCCCTCTGGCACTGGCAGCCATTCCCTGGGTGCTGTCCCTGCAGGCCTTGTCCCCAGTCCCTCTGCAGCTCTCCTGGAGCCCCTGCAGGCCCTGCCAGGGGCTCTGAGCTCTCCCTGGAGCTGCTCCTGTCCAGCTGAGCACCCCCAGCTCCCCAGCCTGGCCCAGAGCAGAGCGGCTCCCCTGGGACACACCTGGAGCTGGGATTACAGAGCTCGAGCCTGCAGAGCCATTTGCACCAAACCTAAACCCAAACTCGCGTCCATTCACACTTTTAAACGGCCTTTAACGGTGGCGCCACCTCTCAGACGTCTGCCACGCCACGAGCACCGGACGGTGCCACAGCCCCGCACCATCCCCTGCGGCCCGGCCCGGGTCCCACCGCAGCGGGGTTTGGGAGCAGCACCCGGGGCTGGGCAGGGCCGACCCCGGGCTGGGCAGGACCGAACCCGGACCGGGCAGAACCGAGCCTGGGCTGGGCAGGGCGGAATCCGGGCCGGGCACAGCCGAACCCGGACCGGGCAGAACCGAACCCGGGCCGGGCAGAACCAATCCCCGGCACGGGCTGAGCCCGGCCCGGCCCCAGCGGCTGCTCTGGGCCCGGAGAGCCGGGGCGGGGGGAAGACACAGGGGACACCGGCACAGGCCCCGCGCGGCGACCGAGACCGCGCCGCGGCCACCCCGAGCCCACGGCCAGCGAACCCCGCGGGCACTGAACCCCACAAACACCGAACCCCACAAACACCGAACCCCGCGGGCACCGAACCCCGCGGGCACCGAACCCCGCGGGCACCGAACCCCGACTTCGCCCGGCCCCGCACCCACCTGCGGCCGAGCCCAGCAGCAGGAGCAGGAGCAGCAGGAGCAGCAACAGGAGCGGGAGGGAGCGGAGCGGAGCCCGGCCCCGCATGGCCCCGCTCGGCCGCGGGTCCCCCCGAGCGCGGCCGGGCCGGGCTGGGCCGGGCCGGGCCGGGCTGGGCTGCGGCGGCCGCACGCTCCGACCCCGCACGGCCGCGGCCACCGCTCCGCCCCTGTCACCGCCTCTGTCACCGCCTCTGTCACCGCCTCTGTCACCGCCCCCGGGGGCTGAGCCCGGCCCGGCCCCGCCCGAGGGCCCGGCAGGCTCCGGGATCGGCCGGGAGGGCCGGGGAGGGCAGCGCTGCCCCGGGCCATGGCCCGGTCCTGCCCCTTCTCCTGCCCCTGTCCTTGTCTCTGTCTCGGCTCCGGCCCCTTCTCCTGTCCTGTCCGAGTACCTGCCCCGTCCTTTCCTGCGCCCGCCTCCCTCCCCGGCCCCTATCCCCATCCCCATCCCCATCTCCATCCATTCCCTATCGCTATTCTTGTCCCTACCACGGCCCCTGCCCCTTTGCCTGTCCCTGTGGTTGATGTGAGGACATTTCGCCCCGGGTTTCTCCGGCTGCACTGGGCACAATAGCAGCCCCTGGTGACACTGATACACACCCTACAGCCCCTGGTGACAGTAACCACACACCTGCAGCCCCTGGTGACACTGCACACCTCCAGCTGACACCAGTGACAGCAGGTTGTGACTGAAAACACTGCTTTGGTTAAAAGCAGCTGAAGCAGAGGGGTATTTCATGAGTGTCCTGAACACAGCCGAAATACTCTCTCTTAAACACTTCAGAGGGGAAATATGCTTCAGACACTTCAGAGGGGAAATATGCTTCTTAAACACTTCAGAGAGGAAATGTTATTATCATTATCATTATTAATAGTGGTACTATTGTGTCAGCAGGACTGGCAGGACTGCTCACCAAAGGAACCAGCCAAGGTTAGGTGTTGCCACATTTCTCTTCACAGAGAAAAGCAAGGCACAGTTCTTCCCAGGAATATTTCTGGGTTTCGTATTCTCTGAACCTCAGAGAAAGGGAAAAACAATTCTTATCTCATTTGCTGTGCCTGTGTTTGTGCCAAAGCAGAATGCAATATGGAGATTGTTTACCCACAGTGATGGTGCTTTGTTTCCTTGGCCTGTCAGGGCCAGGGGTGGGTGTGTGTGTGTCGGGACTGTTGGGTGACAGTCACAAAATGCTGGGCAGCATGAGCAGCTGAGTGCTTGGCAGATTCAGTTTAGATGTAATACAATACAGTACAGAATAAGATAGAATAATAAAGTAATTAATTAGCCTTCTGATAAGATGGAGTCCTCCTCATTCTTCCTCCTTCTTCGGGGGCAAAAACACCCGCTATAGTTAAGGGTGCTCCAAACGCCTCTAACAAACGCAGATGGTGTTCGGGTGCCTGCGGGGTCCCTGCGCAGAGCTGGCACCGCTGCCGCGGCGTTTCCGAGCGGAGAGGAGCGGCAGGAGCCCAGGGGCAGCGCTGGCAGCTCGGGTTCCCGGCGCATCAATCACTGGATTTCGCTGCCGCTTTCGCTGCAGCTCAGCTCTTTCTCCATCCGGGGGAAGATTTCTGCCTGTCCCTTGGCCCCGGGCTCTCGGGGCGTGTGCAGGGCGAGGCAGCGATAAAACAGGTGAGGATCTCACAGCCTCTAGCCCGGCACGAAGGATGAAGGCCAGAAAGGAGCACAAAACCAGTCGGAGCCTGCCTGCCCCGAGCTGCCCCGGACCCTGCGGGAAGGTGACACCGCCCCAGGGCTCCGCTGAGCCTTTCCCTGGAGCCTCCTGCGCTGACACGGGGATTATTTACATTATTTATATCCCTGACACATTACAGGCATCCCGGAACCCCCGGCCCCAGGGCAGGGCAGGAGTCCCAGGGTGACTCAGGGACAGGGACAGGCTGTGACAGCGCCGCCGTTTCTAAACAGGAACATGGAACAGCAAAACAGAGCCCGCAGAGGGCACTTTGATTAGAGGGACGCCTTCATTAATGAGGCTTTGATCGATGAAAGAAGCGTGGAGGAACTCGAAATTGGGGAAACTCGACTTGTGACTTACGCAGCGGGGTTCCCCTCCTCCCTTCTGCTAAAGGACACGTTTGAGCACAGAAATCCCAGAACTTGTCACGTCTGCTTGCCCTTTGCCAGGGCAGAGGGGGAACTTGGGCAGGGTTTTGGTTTCAGCCCAGGCAGAGCTTTCAGCCCAGCTCTGTCTTATCTGGAGCCTCCTGATAAGGCAAAGCCCAAGAAATGACTCTCCTGAGCCCCCGCCGGGAGGAGGGAGGTCCAAGTGACAAAAGGTTAATGGAAGAAGTGGTTTCCACCACCAGCTGATGAGGGATGATTTGTTAAAACTGGGAGCTTAAGGAGAATGGGGAGAATGGAAAATAAAGTGATTTAATGAAGACAGAAGGGAGAGAGAGCCGGGTTTAATGCAACATCCAATAAAAAAAAATAATATCAATAATTCAGGAAATCTGCAGAACCTACAGGAGTTTAGGGATAATTTTGTGTGTTGGCTTTCTTGTTTTTGAGCCTAGAGAGAGGGAAGCAAAGTCAATGTCAAATCAGACAGTGAGGGATAAATGATCCTGTGATTTTCCTGCAGCCAAATTTCTGGCACAGAATCCTGAAAAAAAAAAAAATTGAATCTACAAAAAGATAAGGAAGGGACGCAAAAATCACACACAGAGAGGGGAAATGAATCCATTGCCAGACCCAGGGGCAGTTCCACATCAGGCAGTGATCAGGATGTGAACAATTTTAGGACCACAGTGGTCTGGGAGAGAAATCAGCCCCTGCATTGTGTTCCTCAATTGTCCCTCTATTCATGCAAAGGTAACTCAGGAAACTGAAACAAGAAAGGAAAGCAGGAAGGATCCCCTGTCCTATTCAAATCACACTTCAGAAAGCCTTAAACAAATTCCAGACTTACTACATCAAAACCTCTTCAAACTCTGACCTCATTCCTTGCCACTCCTGGTATTTGCTACTTGGTTTTTTAACCTTCTTCCTGGAAGAGAAACAAAATTGAGTTGTTTGATAGTGGCCTGACACGAAAAGGAAAATAATTCTTAGAGAAAACCCACATTGGTCTGGTCAGCCACAAACCCTCTCACTGCAAACTCTGCTGTGGGGGCTCTGCTGATGTTTGGGGGTGGTCTGGGCCCTCATGTGCCAGCTGGGAACTCTTGGAGGTAGATGGGAAATTATCTAGATGTGTAAAGAGGCATCTCCAACTCAATTTTGGTCCAAATTTCCAGTCCTGCCCTGCCCTCTGACAGTGGGAGCCATTCCCTGGGTGCTGTCCCTGCAGGCCTTGTCCCCAGCCCCTCTCCTGGAGCCCCTTTGGTGTCTCACCCACAGAGGGTTAAAGGAAATTACATCACCCTGGGAAGAGATTTGAGGGTTTATGGATGATTTTTAAGGTCCTTTCCAGCCCAACCCAGCCTGGGATTCTGTGATTTCCCCAGGCTCAGGTGACACAGTTTGTGCCTGTAAAAGGGAGAGGTCACAAAGAGATCAGGAAGAAAACAGCAGCTCCTCCCTCCCTGGGCTGTGTGGAATGTTCTGTGTTCTGACCCAGAGCAGGATTTTGGGTTTGCTGCTGAATTCAGAGCTGGGCCAGGCTTTCCCAGAGCCTTTGGGCCCATTGTGTGTGTGCATTTCACCAGTGTGAGGCTCAAAGTAAAAAGAAAAATTGCGTTAAAGTAAAAAGCAGTGGTGTTAAAGCAAAAAAAAAAAAAAAAAAAAAAAAAAAAGTTTAGTGATTCACTTACAGTAAATCAGTGATGAAATCGAGTCTGGGAGACAGAGGAAGTGCAGTCAGGCAGTGCCTGATCAGAGCAGCTTCCCTGAGCCCAGTAAGCAGAGCTCTACTCATGTGAGAGATAAACACCCCAATCTGCCAGGAATGGACTTGTCTGCCTGGTCAGCCCTTCCGAGAACAGCCTTGTCTTGGGTGTGAAACTCACCCTGACTTTTGGGTGTCTGGGCACGACACTGGGGGCGGCAAAGAGCTGTAGGAGCAAAAAGATCACAGTGACCAAGGAAAGTCAGTTCCTCAAATGGTGACATTTAGGGGAAATCCCAGAATCCCAGACGGGGTTGGGCTGGGAGGGACCCCAAATCCACCCAGTGCCACCCCAGCCATGGCAGGGACACCTCCCAGTGTCCCCAGTGCCCAGCCTGACCTTGGGCACTGCCAGGGATGCAGGGGCAGCCCCAGCTGCTCTGGGCACCCTGTGCCAGGGCCTGCCCACCCTGCCAGGGAACAATTCCTCATGGCCAAGATCCCATCCAGCCCTGCCCTCTGGCACTGGCAGCCATTCCCTGGGTGCTGTCCCTGCAGGCCTTGTCCCCAGTCCCTCTGCAGCTCTCCTGGAGCCCCTGCAGGCCCTGCCAGGGGCTCTGAGCTCTCCCTGGAGCTGCTCCTCTCCAGGTGAGCCCCCCCAGCTCTCCCAGCCTGGCTCCAGAGGGGCTCCAGCCCTGGAGCAGCTCCGTGGTCCCCTCTGGACGAGGATCCCTCATGGATCAGTTTTTGGTGGAAGAGTTTTCAAGGTGATGTGTAGGAAATGAAAACATGGATTTAAGGAACACAGCCTAAGGCACCTTGGTTCTGGTAACAGAAAACTCACAGCCCCAGAGTCACCCCAGCATCACCCCAAACCTGTCCCCAAGGGCACAGCCAGACACCCCTGGGACACTCCCAGAAACTCCACCAGACCCTGGGAAACTCATTCCAGTGTCATCACTTGGGCAGGGAAAAACTGTTTCCAGTCTCTGATCTGAACCTCCCCTGTGAGAAAGGGAAGGGAAGGGAAGGGAAGGGAAGGGAAGGGAAGGGAAGGGAAGGGAAGGGAAGGGAAGGGAAGGGAAGGGAAGGGAAGGGAAGGGAAGGGAAGGGAAGGGAAGGGAAGGGAAGGGAAGGGAAGGGAAGGGAAGGGAAGGGAAGGGATGGGAAGGGAAGGGAAGGGAAGGGAAGGGAAGGGAAGGGAAGGGAAGGGAAGGGAAGGGAAGGGAAGGGAAGGGAAGGGAAGGGAAGGGAAGGGAAGGGAAGGGAAGGGAAGGGAAGGGGCCTCCAGGAGGCCACCAAGGGCCTTGTGAAAACCCCAACACCCACAAAAGGGCATTTTGCTGGGAAAGAGTGAAAAATTCACTGTGACTCAGTGAAGGAACTCAGCAGAAGTGAGAGGAGGTGAACACTCCTGCTTTTATAAACAAGTCCAGACATAGTGGGGGTGACAAGCAGGGGAAGGAAGAGCTTTTCCAGGGCAAAGAAGAGATATTTTCAGGGGCAAGAAGAGATTTTGTAGGTGAAAGAAGAGATTTTCCAGGGCAAAGAAGAGATTTCCAGAGAAAATAAGAGATTTCTTAGGGGAAAGATGAGTTTTTCTAGGGGAAAAAAGATTTTCAAGGGGAAAGAAGAGAATTTCCAGAGGAAAGAAGAGATTTTCTTGGGAAAAGAAGAGATTTTCCAGGGAAAAGAGCCAAGCCAGCACTGCAGGGATGTGCCAGCCCAGCTGGGCTGGGGGTCTGGGCTGTGTGAAGGGCAGTTGGGATTTATATCCCATTTATACATTCACAGCCCCAATGCCAGCACAAGCTAAAAGGGGCTCTAAAGGTACCCCCAAAATGCCCCCAAACTGCCAAGGTAGCCCAGATTGTTCAGCTTTCCAGTCAGAAGAGTTCCTGGGTGGGTTTTAGCTCCAGGGATGCTAAAGTGGAATCACTTTTTCAGACACTTTAATGGATCTGGTTTTTGATTTGCTCTTGCCAAATGGAGCTCAAAGCCTCAGGTACCAGCACAGGTGTGCCTGGAACTCCCTCACCTTTCCCAAAAAATACCTGGATAGAGATGAATCCACCCTGAAGGGAAGGGAGATAAAGCTCTAAAGCCAAGCAGAGCTGCCACTGACACCTTTTTGTTCAGGAAATGTTTTGGTTTTGCTGCCTCAGGGAAAAGGCATCCCCAAGGCAACAGGGCTGGATTTGGTGCTAATGATGGGATTTCTGGGACTTCCCCCAGGAACTGCAGGAAAGAAAACTAATAACAATTACAATAGAACTAATTTAATTTTTTTAAATTAAAATTTTTTTTTAATAAAAATTGAATGTTAAAAATGGGTTTCCAAGAGTCCCCATGAAACTCAGGCCCAGCCTGAGTTTCTTTGGTTCTCTGCCACATTAACCACATCATGTGTTGCTTTTATTGAGGTCTAACCACCAATTACAGGTGGATTACCGTGGTGCTGGGATGGTTCAACACCACTGAGAAAACAGCCACCCAATCCCACCTGGATTCACCACCCAATCCCACCTGGATTCACCACCCAAACCCCACCTGGATTCACCACCCAATCCCACCTGGATTCACCACCCAAACCCACCTGGATTCACCACCCAAACCCACCTGGATTCACCACCCAAACCCACCTGGATTCACCACCCAAATCCCAGATGGATTCACCACCCAAACCCACCTGGGTTCACCACCCAAACCCACCTGGATTCACCACCCAAATCCCAGATGGATTCACCACTCAAACCCACCTGGATTCACCACCCAATCCCCACATGGATTCACCACCCAATCCCAGATGGATTCACCACCCAATCCCCACATGGATTCACCACCCAAACCCCACCTGGATTCACCACCCAATCCCCACACGGATTCACCACCCAAACCCACCTGGATTCACCACCCAAACCCCACCTGGATTCACCACCCAAACCCACCTGGCTTCACCACCCAAACCCACCTGGATTCACCACCCAAACCCCACCTGGATTCACCACCCAAACCCCACCTGGATTCACCACCCAAACCCCACCTGCATTCACCACCCAATCCCCACCTGGATTCACCACCCAATCCCACCTGGATTCACCACCCAATCCCACCTGGATTCACCACCCAAACCCCACCTGGATTCACCACCCAATCCCACCTGGATTCACCACCCAATCCCACCTGGATTCACCACCCAAACCCCAGACGGATTCACCACCCAATTCCCACCTGGATTCACCACCCAAACCCACCTGGATTCACCACCCAATCCCACCTGGATTCACCACCCAAATCCCAGATGGATTCACCACCCAATCCCACCTGGATTCACCACCCAAACCCCAGACGGATTCACCACCCAATCCCCACCTGGATTCACCACCCAATCCCACCTGGATTCACCACCCAATCCCACATGGATTCACCACCCAAACCCTACATGGATTCACCACCCAATCCCTCCTGGATTCACCACCCAACCCCACCTGGGTTCACCACCCAAACCTACCTGGATTCACCACCCAATCCCACCTGGATTCACCACACACTGACCTCTCTAATACAATTTTATTTATCTATTTATCTATTATTTATCTATTCATTTATCTATTTTTAAATGTATCTATTTCTTACCTGGGATTCCCCATCAAGAATATGGCTCTGAACTAATAAAAAACTGCAATAATAGAAGAATAAAACCTAGTCAATTCTAAATAAATAAAATTGATATATAAAACAAAACATAATCAATTCTAAATAAATAAATGAAACCTAATAATAAAGAAATAAAACCTAACCAATCATAAACAAAACCCCCATAAAAATAAATAAACAAACCCCAATCAATTCTAAAGAAACAAATGTTTAAAACTAACAATAAATAAAACCAAATCAATTCTAAATAACTAAATCCTAATAATAAATAAATAGAACCTAACCAATTATAAGCAAATAAAACCTAATCAACAAATTAGGTTAAACAGTAATCAATTCTAAATAAATAAAAATAATAAATGAAACCTAATCAGTTCTAAATAAGTAAAGCCTAATAATAAGTAAAGAAACCCTAATAAGTTATAAATAAATCAATCCTAATAAGTAAGCAAGTCCTAATCAATTATAAAATAATAAACAAGTAAAACCTAATAAGAAAATAAATAAAGCCTATTCAATTGCAAATAAATAAATAACCCCCCAAATAATAAATAAATAACACCTAATAAATTACAAAGAAATAAATAACCCCCAAATAATAAATAAATAATACCTAATCAATTACAAAGAAATAAATAAATCCTAATAAATAAATTAAGGCTAATCAATTATAAATACATAAAACCCAATAACAAATAAACCCTAATACATTATAAATAAATAAAAAACCTAATAATAAATAAATAAAACCATAACCAATTATAAATAAATCCTAATAATAAATAAATAAACTCTAACAAAATCTAAACAAATAAGCCCTAACAATAATTCAGGCCAATGCCAGGATCCATTCCAAAGGCAGAAGTCATGGGAAAGTCCCAGCCCTGGGACCAACCATTGAAAATCCTCCTCAGCTGCTGGAGTTCCTCAGCTCATTCTAAATAACTCTGCAGTTGTTGGCTTTCTCTGTCATGTATTGGCTTTTGAAGAATTATTATTATTATTATTATTATTATTATTATTATTATTATTAATTTATAACATAACAATGATTTTGATATAGTACACTTTGTGATCACTTTGAACTGCTTTAATAAATATCATTTATCATCTGGCCCTGTGTAGCTTGTATATTTTGGTGTGACAAATATATATTATAGTTTAGATGTTGGAACCCTGGACACTGAGAATTTCAGACTTTCTGTGCTGCCAGGCACTGACCCCAAAAAACCACTACATTTGACCTGAGGCTGTGGAGAAAGCTTCCAAAACTGAATGAGACAATTAAGATTGTAAGTGTGTAGTTTAAATAGAAGTGTGTAGTATCATATAGTAGAAAACTCGGAGTTTAAAGTTTTAGAGTATAATAATATGTATAAAATAAGATAGAAGTTTTAGAGCAGAGACTTGTCCTTCTTCTTCACCTTCTTCTCCACGGGTTTGGGTGATATTTAATGAAATAAAAAAGTAATAAAATAAAAATAAATAAAATAAAAATGAATAAAATAAAATACAATAATTAGTTTAAATAAATTAAATAAAAATTAAATTAATGAAAATAACAAAATAAAAGTAATTTTAAAAGTAATTAAATAAAGTCCACATTGCAGACCACAAGTAGTTAGTTAAAAGTTAAATATAATTTAGGTGTAATTTCTTTATTGGACAGTTTATCCTTAAAAAATCTTATAGAGATGCAACTCCATTTTTAGTTTACTAAAATAAAGTACTATAGAACTCACAGTTTATAAAACTATAATATAGATAAAACCAATAAACATCTAAATCCAAACAAAAATACCACCTCATACGTTTAATCCCAACCCTAACAAAAATAAACAACCCAGAAAATTCCACATTTATGCTTTCACTAAATATTCAAATGATTGTGATGTTAAATGCTTTTATTTGTGTAACTCAGTGCCAATGGTGAGAATAACTCAGACAATCTGGGAAGAGCTAATGTGGATCTCATGGACTCGTGGAGAACCTTGTCTGTATAAAATAACATTGAAAGAAAATAAACAAGAATGCAAGGAAGGATTTACCACCGACCTTTGGTTATCAAGAACTGCCAAACCACGGAACAGGAGCCTTGTGGGAACATAAAACAGACAAATTTCACCTGCAGCACTTTAAGAAGATGGGCCAGGAGTCAGACCAAGCAAAAGAATTCCCAGATTGTGCAGACCCAAAGGGATGTTTGAATGTGCATAATCCTCATGAACATGCACCTGACCAATGCAGTGAAAAAGGGTATCAGGAAAATATTCTGAACTGACTGATGTGCCTCTGCCAAGCTCCCAGGGCTGTAACAGTGCCTTCTATCCCTTACTAAACTTTAAACCTTTTAAGGAGTGAGTCTTGTTTCTCACAATCCCAGGACACAAAACTTCTGCCCCATCACCCTCTCCTCCCTGGCACTGGGAGCTGATATTGAATTTATCCCACAAAATCAACATGGGTGAAGTGGTTCTGGTTTCACTAACACCCACCTTGAGGCATTTCCCTGTAATTCCAACACCCACAGAGCAATCCAGCTTTCCCCAGGGCATTTGCCAGGATTCCAACATTACCAGCATGAATTCAGTGCAGAGAATCACAGAATGATGGGATTGCTCAGGCTGGGAAAGACCTCCAAGCTCATCTTGTTGGGAATACCCTGAACAAGGAGAGGGAAAGCCCCCCAAGGGCCACATTCCTCAGAAATACCTTGGAACTGAACAAATCCATGTAATTACACTTCCTTTGGACTCCGAGATGAAGAGGTCTGTGACCTGTAAAATTCTGGTCAAATCCTTTTCCCAGTATTTCTGGATACATCTGAAAAATCAGAATGAGGCTGACTTGGGCATTTAGGAACTTAACTTTCCAGTTTAAATATTTGATACTAAAATAAATAAGTAAAAAACCAAATTTTCTACTACTACTACTACTATTATTATTACTATTATTTTATATTAATATTAGATATTTAAATACCCATTGAATCAAGGAGTTTTTCCATCTCACTATTCTGGTTTTGCTGCTTCTGGCCCCACTGGAAAGAGCTGGTACAAGATTTTCTGTAAGCACACTTAGAGCACAAAATCCAATATAATAACAATAAATATCCATTAATTATGATCCATGTGGTTCTGCACTCCAGAGGAAAATGGGGCTGCCTGTGAATTATCCTTCCTCTTTCAGGAATATTCACTGGGTGCTTTGCTTAAAATCTGGCAGTGAAATCCTTCCCATGAATTAACTTTTGTCCAAATGATGCCATTAATTCCATTTCTGTGTAATTTATATGGGATATTCCATTCTACCCTTCACATTGGGTTTTTCAGAAAGCTCCTCATGGGAACTTCCCAAGTATCCACAGGGCAACTTCCATGTCACTACACCAAAAACACACAGAACCAAGAGAGGGATAAGAAGCAAATGTGCAAAATTTATTATGTTCTTCAATGAACACAGGGATAGGAAATTTATAAAATTAGGTAGTATCTTCAAAGTTAAAAAAAAAAGATACATAAACACCAAGAGTTCCCGGAGAAGAGAGAACAAACAACAGCAGTCCATAGGATGCTCAAACCCAGCTGACTCCAAAGCAGTTTCTTCATAAAAAAATAAGAGACTTTAAAAAAAAAGGACACTGGAAGACAGCGGAGTCAGCATGGAAAACATGGAATATGGAAACTGAAATGCTACTGCAGCACATCCTGATTGTCCAAAGAAAAGTCTGTTGGCAAAACAGGGAAAGCTCAGAGTGCCAAGCTCAGCCCTCTGCTAAAGGCATCTCCTAAATTCACCAGGGTCCTGCTAATTCCAGCATGAGTTTGGAGAGACCTCAAAGTCCATCCCAACCCACCCCTGCCATGGCAGGGACACCTCCCACTGTCCCAGGCTGCTCCAACCTGGCCTGGGACATTCCAGGGATGGGGAGCGAGACATGGAACAAGCACTGGGAACATTCCCAGACACATCCATGAAGAATCCTGTGAGGAATTCCATGAGGAATCCCCTGAGGAACCCTGTGAGGAACCCTGTGAGGAACCCTGTGAGGAACCCCAGCCTCCTCACTGCTGCTCCTCTTGCTCCCTTGGCACCTTTAGCTCTGGACCTGCTGGGCCAGGCAGGGGCTGGCAGTGGCAATCCCACAGGATTGTGTCCAGCATGGATTCCTGTGGCTGTGTAAACACTGTGGGAGTGACCCCACACAGAACTCTGCTGGAGCAGGCAGGGAGTGCTCAGCTCACAGCTTCAAGTACAGAAGTGCCCAAAGCTGCTCCTGGTCAGAGGGACAGCCCTGGGTGGGGTGGGGACACTGGGGCCATTCCCAGCCAGGCCTGAGCAGCTCCCCCAGCAAGGGCAGCTCTGGAACCCAAACCCAGCAATCCCAAAGGTCACAGTGTCCCCATGGGATCCCAAAGGTCACAGTGTCCCCCATAGGATCCCAAAGGTCACAGTGTCCCCCTGAGGATCCCAAAGGTCACAGTGACCCCCATAGGATCCCAAAGGTCACAGTGCCCCCTGAGGATCCCAAAGGTCACAGTGTCCCCATGGGATCCCAAAGGTCACAGTGTCCCCTGAGGATCCCAAAGGTCACAGTGACCCCCTCAGGATCCCAAAGGTCACAGTGTCCCCATGGGATCCCAAAGGTCACAGTGTCCCCTGAGGACCCCAAAGGTCACAGTGTCCCCATAGGATCCCAAAGGTCACAGTGTCCCCTCAGGATCCCAAAGGTCACAGTGTCCCCATAGGATCCCAAAGGTCACAGTGACCCCCTCAGGATCCCAAAGGTCACAGTGTCCCCATGGGATCCCAAAGGTCACAGTGTCCCCCTGAGGATCCCAAAGGTCACAGTGTCCCCCTGAGGATCCCAAAGGTCACAGTGACCCCCTCAGGATCCCAAAGATCACAGTGTCCCCATGGGATCCCAAAGGTCACAGTGTCCCCTGAGGACCCCAAAGGTCACAGTGACCCCTGAGGATCCCAAAGGTCACAGTGTCCCCTCAGGATCCCAAAGGTCACAGTGTCCCCTCAGGATCCCAAAGGTCACAGTGTCCCCATAGGATCCCAAAGGTCACAGTGACCCCCTCAGGATCCCAAAGGTCACAGTGTCCCCATAGGATCCCAAAGGTCACAGTGTCCCCCTGAGGATCCCAAAGGTCACAGTGTCCCCTCAGGATCCCAAAGGTCACAGTGTCCCCTCAGGCTGGGACTCCCATCACAAAGAGGTTTGAAGTGTCTGTGAAGTTGACAATCCCACAAAGGAATTCTGATTTCCCAAAGTTACACGATTTCCTTTTCCAGTGTTTCTTTGGATCCTTTGCTCCCAGAAGTGTTATCATCATTGGAATAATTCCCTGAGTCTCGACTGCTCTGTGTGGAATGGTTGTAGTCTGTGAAAACAATCTGATTTCCCTCCTCTGTGATCATGGATTCAATCACACAGCAATTTTCCACTGATTCCTCTGTGGCAGCTGACAAGTAAGGGCTGCTGAAGGGCTGTGCTCCAAATCCCTGAGGACAGAAGCAGAAGGGGAAGAGATGAACATCCATAAGTAATAATTATAGACTGATTTAAATAATTAAATACTAATTCTGCTAAACACCACAATCACACAAATGTTATTTATCAGATTCTTTACTGTGAGGGTGGGCAGGCCCTGGCACAGGGTGCCCAGAGCAGCTGGGGCTGCCCCTGCATCCCTGGCAGTGCCCAAGGCCAGGCTGGACACTGGGGACAGTGGGAGGTGTCCCTGCCATGGCAGGGGTGGCACTGGGTGGGCTCTGAGGTCCCTCCAACCCAAACCATGCTCAAGTTGAGCAGCAATGTGTGGTTTCCACTCCTTGTTTCCCTAGGGTGACCAGCTCAGATTTAGGATGAAGTTTTAGTTCACAGAATCCCCAAATCCCTGGGGCAGGCCCAGCCCTGCCAGCCCATGCAGTGCCAGCTGTGCCCCATGGGCACCTTGTCCCCAGCCCAGAGCACTCAGTGCCACCTGCAGGGGACACCTGCAGGGCTGGGCACTGCAAAGCTCCCTGGGCAGCCCCTGCCAAGGCCTGAGCTCCCTTGCCATGGGCAAATTGCTGCTGCTGTCCAAGCTGAGCCTGCCCTGGCCCAGCCTGAGGCCGTTCCCTCTGCTCCTGTCCCTGTGCCCTGGGAGCAGAGCCCAGCTCCCACCTCCCAGCTGCATTCACTGAATCCATCACTAAGGGGTGACTCCAACATTTTATCTCATCCCTTTTCCTGCTCTCAATTGTCAATCACCAGAGAATTGCAACATTTCATGGATTAGAGCCTGAGAAGGCCACACAAGAATGAAAAGAAAATCCAGGTACAGAGGTTTCAAGACACACTTGAGCGTTGCCCTTCTCATTCCAGAACAGGATCCCTGCTAAGCAGCACCTGTGCCAGGCTGGACACTGGACAAAGCTCTGGAGACCTCTGATAAAACCTCTGAAATGAACCCTGGCTGAGCCATAACACATAAACATCTTTTTTTCCATGATATTTAAAGTTCATTTTCCTACAAAGAAGGTGTGAGAAGTCAGAGCTCACCTCGATGTTCAGGGGGGGCTGGCAGGAGGGGAAGAACACGTATTTGATTTTGTTGTAGGCTTGGTAGAACACAAAAATAAGAGAAGTGGCCAGCAGCAGGACAACCAGCAGGGCAGCCACGAAAATCCCAGAAATCATCAGAGCTAAAGATGTACCTAAAATTGGGAATAAAAACCATTTAGTCGAGGTATTTACAACCAGCAGAAATTAAAGCACAGCTCCAAATATTCTGCAGAATTTATCAAATAATTCAACATTTCCACATCATGGAAACATTCCCCAACACTTCCACAGCCATGGGCACCAGGGAAAAGCGATGCCGTGCCAGTGTCTGAGATAATTTTGCTTGAAGAAGCCACAAAATATTTTCCAATAGAAAATCAGAATCACCAAGGTGGGAAGAGACCTCCAAGGTGCTCCAGTCCCTCCATCACCCCAGCACCAGCTGGGGGTGCACATCTGGAGAGGAGCAGCTCCAGGGAGAGCTGAGAGCCCCTGGCAGGGCCTGCAGGGGCTCCAGGAGAGCTGCAGAGGGACTGGGGACAAGGCCTGCAGGGACAGCACCCAGGGAATGGCTGCCAGTGCCAGAGGGCAGGGCTGGGTGGGATCTTGGCCATGAGGAATTGTTCCCTGGCAGGGTGGGCAGGCCCTGGCACAGGGTGCCCAGAGCAGCTGGGGCTGCCCCTGCATCCCTGGCAGTGCCCAAGGCCAGGCTGGGCACTGGGGACAGTGGGAGGTGTCCCTGCCATGGCAGGGGTGGGAATGAAATGATCCTCAAGGTCCTTGCCACCCAAACCCTTCCACAATTCCATTATTATCTCAAGAAACTGAAAGGAGTTTGGTGATACTGAAATGAACAGGCACCAGCAGCCACTTTCCCAGTAATCCAAAGGACACGATCAGGTCTTATTTCATGATCAAAGAATAGAAGATTTTCACTCTGGGGTATAAAAATGTCTGAGCAGGGTCTGTCTTGAAGGCACTGCTTGGATTTAGAGATTCACTGAGGTAGCAGGATAAGGGGAAGAGGAATACCTAGGAAAATAGATTAAAATATTTTCTTATTCAGGAAAAAGTAGCTTTTGGTTTTTTTAGGTTTGATAAGACAGAGCAGTGAGGACCACAATATAAATGAATCCTGAATGTGAGCCAGGCATTGCTGTTATTACATTTTCTTGGCTTTAAGGCAGTTTGAAGAGTCAGAAATGTTCATAGTGTTAATAAAACTTTATGTGGCCAATTACCTTCACCATGATTTGTTCTTGTGCTCTGAGTGAGTGCAATCCTCCCACTCTCCCTTGGCACCAAGATGAGCTTTCAGCCCTAACAAATCTGATTTATCTCCTCACTCTCCAGCACAGGAGGCTCATTCCCAGAAGGACTAAGACAGTTTCAAGGCTAAAATACCCCTGAAAGTGTGGAATTTAGTGATTCCTTGCTCCCTCCCAAGATGTGGGGCTGGGAATTGAAGCTCTCTGCCCAGCCAGGTGCTGCCAGTGCTGGCAGGAGTGCTGAGTTCCCAGGGAAGGGGTGAGAATTGCAGCTGCAGAGGGTGTGGATGCATTTCTGCCAGGCTGTGCCCACCTGCAGGGGTGTGGATGCATTGCTGCTGGCTGTAGGCACTGCTCTTGTTGTAGGGCTCGGAGAAGGCCTGCACCTGGACACAGTACAGGCTGGAGGGGGACACATCAGGCACTGTGGCTATGGTCTGCTTCACCTCCTTCTGCTTCACCTCCTCCTGGAAAAGCAAATCAGGCAAAGAGGAGGGATCAGAGCCCAAGGGCAGCACAGGAGGCTCAAAGAGGTGAGAGCTGCAGCCTCTGATGGAGGAGTGATTCTGTGAAATGTCACACATTGCAGCAACCCCACATCTGCAGGGCTGGAGAGACTTTCCAGCTCATGCAGTTCCACATCCAGGTGCCTCTGGAACATTTCCAGGAACTCCACCACCTCCCTGGGCACCCAGATTCAGTAAAATAAATAAACCACCCCCCTTAGCTCCTAAGCAGAACTCAGCAAACACTTCCTGGGCAAGAACCAAGGGCTTTCCCCATTCTGAAATGTCCCAGTTTCCAGGAAACTCCTTCCTGCTGCAGTTTGCTGCCTTCTCTTCTGCCCCCCTTTTTACCAATTACTGTGAAATATTTTACCCTAAGAAGCATTTAAAAACATGGAAAGATCCATTAAAATGTGAGCTAAAGGATGCAGGACTTCAGTGTTTGAGGAGCTTTTTCCATCCCATTGCACACAGACTCATCCATGGAAATGGAGATTTTACCCCATCACTGGGAGATAACAATCACAGTGATCAGATTTCTAAGAGAGTTTCTAAGAGAGTTACATAAAAATCTCAACCACTGGGTGATAAAAGTCACAGTGCTCAGGTTTTTGATAGAATCTTTCATTAGAAAACCCAATAAACTGATTTTTTTAAAGGCTGATATACCACAAATGTGCCTCTTTTGGAAAGGAGCTCCTCAGGGAGAATGGAAACTCAGGATTTAAGTCAGAATGAATCTTATATTGTTTGTAATTTGTTCACACCTTCATATCTGAGGAATTCTTCCAGTACAGGATCCTGTAGGTCAAGTCATAATGGTCCCTCATGGCTTCATCCTCATCTCCTGGAGGAGAAATAATGATGTGGAGCAAAGTGTCACTGAGGTCCAGCCTTACACCAGGAGGGCCAATTCCATCTGAAAACAATAAAATAAATAATAAAAATCCAACTAAAAACATTGCTTCAAAGACTGCCAGTGAAATCCATTATAATCTTGAAGAAACAGAGTTAGAAGTATAATTTCATAGTTTTATTCAGAATATCAAATCCTGAGAAACATTTGAATTAATTTCACTATATTCTTGTGAAGCCCCCCCTCCTGTCAGCTCATAAAGACATTTGGCAGGAGTTTGCTGAGCAATGAGCATTTCAGGAGAGCATTTCCTTACTTGTTTTCAGAGGATCCACTTTGACATCCTTGGAGAAGCAGGATTCGTTGTGTCCCCCCCTGGCCTGCACTCGCAGGTAATAAAATCCAGTGCTGGTGATGATGGAGGACAAGTTGCACCAGGTGCTGGTGATGTTCTCACACCTGGGGACATTGTGCCACTTGTCTGAGTAATCATCAGGGAGATTCTTCACGTAGCCACTGCAACAGAGAATTCAAGAGTTTTCATGCCAGCTCCCTAAGCTCCTCAAGAAAATCGTATTTGTTTGTGCTGCACTTGGCTCAGTTTTGGGCAAAAAGGCTTCTAGTAATAAAATAAAAAAAATCAGCATTTTAATATGGGACATTTCTGAGTGGAACAATGAAGATAAAAGGGCCAGGGAATACAAATTAGGGCTTTAACCAAGGCTCAGCAGAGAAATGAAATGTGGGGTGGGCAGGTTCTGAAAGTCTAAATGAGAAGTTCTCACGTAGCTCTGTGCAGTCCATGGATTTCCTGCCATGCCAAAGAATTCCCAAGGAATGCCAGGGGGTCCCTCCTCTTCTGTTAGGTGCTGGCCATAATATTTATGCAGCAGCTGGAGATTGAGATACAGGTTTATAGAGCTGCTTCCTAATGGGATTTTATGGATGTGATTCAATGGGATTTGATGGGATATGATGGGGCTTTTATGGCATTCCTTATTTTTTGATGCAATATGATTTTTATCTAGTTTTCTTTAGTGATACAGTGGTTTTGTGTGTGATAGGATGGGGTTTGATGTGATACAAGGGTTATTTCACATGGCATGAGGGGGTTTTTATATGACTTGATGGGTTTTTTATGGGACACAATGTTTTCTTTATGGGGCACAACACTTTCTTTGATGTGACACACCATTTCTTTATGTGACACAACATTTTCTTTATGTGACACACCATTTTCTTTATGTGACACACCATTTATGTGACACACCATTTCTTTTATGGGATACACCATTTTCTTTGATGTGACACACCATTTCTTTATGGGACACACCATTTCTTTTATGGGACACACCATTTCTTTTATGGGATACACCATTTTCTTTGATGTGACACACCATTTCTTTATGGGACACACCATTTCTTTATGGGACACACCATTTATGTGACACACCATTTCTTTATGTCACACACCATTTCTTTATGGGACACACCATTTCTTGATGTGACACACCATTTCTTTGATGGGACACACCATTTATGTGACACACCATTTCTTTATGGGACACACCATTTTCTTTGATGTGACACACCATTTCTTTATGGGACACACCATTTCTTTATGGGACACACCATTTCTTTATGGGACACACCATTTCTTTATGGGACACACCATTTCTTTTATGGGATACACCATTTTCTTTGATGTGACACACCATTTCTTTATGGGACACACCATTTCTTTATGGGACACACCATTTCTTTATGGGACACACCATTTCTTTATGTGACACACCATTTCTTTATGTGACACACCATTTCTTTGATGTGACACACCATTTTCTTTATGTCACACACCATTTTCTTTATGTCACACACCATTTCTTTGATGTGACACACCATTTCTTTGATGGGCCACACCATGCTACCTTGTGTTTTCTCCCCTGTTTGGGTCTGCCCAGAAGAAACCCAAGCTGCTGACAACTGAACCCTCCACCACCTGTATTTTTGCTCACTTTTACTCATCTAATTTCTCCACATTCAAAAAGCCACTAAGCAATTCAAGTTTCCCAGCTTTAAAAATGTCCCTCAGCATTCAGGAGAGGACTTTAAGAGCCCCAAAAGCAGCCCAGTCCCTGAAATCCCAGGCTCAGGTGGTAACATGGAATTCTTTAACAGCAATGGGCCAATCACGTTCCCATTAACATACAAAGCCACCAACTATTCCATTTTACCCTCTAGGAAACACCAGAGAACACAAGAAAGGGGGTTGCAGGTGGCAGGGCTGGGACTGCTGAACTCACAACAGGTACTGCACGGTGTAGTTCACATCCTGATTTCCCTGGCTGCTCCAAAGCAGGTGGAATTTCATGTTCAGAGCCAGGACACTCAGGTTGGTGGCACACAGGAGGTCGTTCACTGCTCAGGGGGAAAGGAAGCCCAAGTTACCAAAAAACTTCATGGGAATGGACATTTCTCATGTCAGTAATGAAAACATAAAGATTATTCACTATACAGATTGCAAGTCACAGGCTGTGATATGCAAAGCATCCCATCAAGCCTAATTTAAAAAAAATTAAAAAATCCTAATTTAAAAAATCAGTTAAAATCAATTCAGAAAAAAATTAAAGTACACAAATATTGAGAGGAGCAGAAATAAACTGGTTTGGGAATAATATGAGGAGAAAAATACATAAAATACACATCTGTTTTTATTGTACATTTTGATTTTTTGTTTTAATATTTTGTTAAAATATGAATGTGACAACTACTTAATATCTTATAAGATAATAAAAACTTGCATGTATCAGTTATTGTAATATTTTATTAAGATACACATGTATTATTTTAGTATTTTAAAAATATACATGTATTCTTTCAATGTTTTTAAGACACATGTGTATCAATTAATGTATTTTGTGTATAAAATAATTTTCATTTAACATCAATTACTTACATTTTGATTAACCATCAATTCATTATGATGTACCACCCTAGTCCAATCTAATATTTGACTTTCTGCAGTTATTTTTTTCCTAAAATAAACATCTAAAAGTAACTGCACAGCACAGAAAAGAATTTAATTTTACATAACAAGGTGGCAAACTGCCCCCTCAAAGCCTTTCTTCAGCAGCTGTAACAATCAATTCACCAAGGATTATATAAAACCAGCATTTTTTTAAGCTCAACTCAACTTTCTGTGCATTCATTGAGTGCCAAGTATCCCAGAGGCTTTTGGTTTTTTACCTCCTGATTCAGTCACTGATTCAAAAAGAAGAGTTTTCCAAAGCACACAAAGAAGTTTTTGTTCCAAATTAATGTCAAAGTTTGCCTCATGGCAAAAACCTTCTTGTACTATTAAAACTCTACCCTTGACATGTTTTATGTTGATTGAGAAGGGCAAATATATATAATATATATATATATTTTTTTATACCAAAATGAGGAGGAATTTGGCCCTTCTGCCTATTCCTGCTGCTTCAGAACAACTGACTGTGTGCCAGTCTAATAGAAGTTACCATTTGCAGGTAACCTCATTTCCTGGGTACCTTTCTGGGTGGTTTTCACACAGCTGGTGGGGCTGAACAAGCCTTCCTTTCTCTCACTGGGGAGATTTGCTTGGACTTTGAAGCAATAGGTGCTGTCTGGGGCAAGGTGATCAATGGTGTCAACAGGGAAAACCTTTCTGCTCTGGGGCTGGAAGAAACAAACACAAAGAGCCTGTGAGGGGAACTGTGCATCCCCAGGAACATTTTAAATGATCATTCTGCAGGATTTCAGCCCATTTGTATCATACCCCTCCTAAAAATGTGGAATAGAGAAAGTAGGAGAAATCCTAAAGGGAAGTTTGCAGTTTAGCCAGTGACTGACAGGAATATTTTGGGCTCCTTTGCCATGGAACTGGGGAGGGGTTGGGCATGACCAGGAGTTCACCCCACAGACATCCCAGAATGCAGCAGGACATTCCATCCCTGATCACCCAGACCCTCCTCCCTGCTCTGCCTTTGGCTTTCACTGACCCTACCCACTTGTACTTCTGGGCCTTTTGCTCCTTTGGTGTGTGATCCCAAAATCCCAGAGGTGGGAAGAGCCCTTCAGGATCACCCAGTGCCACCCCAGCCCCACCAGCATCACCCCAATCCCTGTCCCCAAGGCCACATCCAGACTGCTCTGGGACAATTCCAGGGACTCCAAACCTCCCTGGGCAGCTCAGCCCAAGGCCTGACCACTCTGCCAGGGAAATTTTCTGTCCCAGTCTCCAACCTGAGCCTGCCCTGGTGCCATTTGAGGCCATTTCCTCTCCTCCTTTCCCTGCCCCTCCTGTCAGGAGCTGTGCAGAGCACTGAGGTCCCCCCTGAGCCTCCTTTGCTCCAGGCTGAGCATCAGAGAGCTGTGACTGATCCAACCTGCCCTGAAGGTGGAGTTTAAAAGGTGCTGGATCTTCTCAGAATCCTGGGATCAAGGCTGGGAAAACCCTTCAGGGTCACCCAATGCCATCCCAGCCCCACCAACATCACCCCAATCCCTGTCCCCAAGGCCACATCCAGACTGCTCTGGGACAATTCAGTGACTCTAAACCTCCCTGGGCAGCTCAGCCCAAGGCCTGACCACTCTGTGAGGGGAATTTTATTCTGTCTTTAACCTGCCCCTCTCCTGGTGCCATTTGAGGCCATTCCCTCTTGTCCTTTCCTCATTCCTGTGTTTCCCCCCCGGCTGTGCCCTCCTGGCAGGGACTTGTGCAGAGCCACAAGGGCCCCTGAGCCTCCTTTGCTCCAGCCCCAGCCCCTGCCCAGCTCCCTCAGGGATTCTGCAGCCCCTGCCCAGCTCCCTCAGGGATTCTGCAGCCCCTGCCCAGCTCCCTCAGGGATTCTCCAGCCCCTCAAGGTCCTTTCTGAAGTGATGAATTTGATCTGATCTCCCAAAAGAACACAGATTGGCCTTTGATCCCTGCCCTAATTTAAATGATTCTCACTTCCCTAAAAAGGATAAAAAAGGAAGAGTTTCTTCCCTGCTCTTTAGAGGAGAGCTCTGGGTGCTCTGCAGGACACACATGATGCCTTGGAAACCAGTTCACAATGGCAACACCTCAAAAAAGTCCCTGGATCAGGGCAATCCCAGTAACACAATCCTATGGTAAGAACAAAATCATCCCACCAAGAAAAAACCACCTCACCCAACTTTCAAACACACAGGAGCAAACAATTCCATTCCAGAGCACAAATTCAAGTCCATCTCTGGCAGTTCTGGTAAGGTAAGTAACAAAAAATAAGTGCTCATACCTGAGCATGTGAGGAGTTTTCCCAGAAGACCAGGTTATATTTAAAACTCAGATCATTGATCCACATTTTTTTCCTCTGATTTGCTTCTGGAGGAGAAATCATAACTTTTACAACTCCATTTGTGGACTGCAATTCCAGTCCTGGTGGACCAATCTGAGCTGCAAATATGGAAAGAAAAAAGAAGCTAAACATGTCTACTTTGAGAAAATACACCCCAAAAGTGGTTTAAATAATAAACCTAAAATACCTGCCTATGGTTTCTTATTTTTAATTCTTTTGAATAATCACCCACAGGACCTTAAGTTTTCATGACTCAGACAGTTTCTAAAAGAAATTTAATCTAACAACCAACTACCATCACCAGGTTCTAAAAGCAGTTAAAATTAAATATTACCAGCAAATGTTTTCCAAAAAAATCAGTATAAATTATTCTAAAACCTGCAAGGCAAGAGACTTAGCTCAGTCCAATAAATCCAACTTCAAAGAAAGGATTCAGTACCACTGAAACTGCTGAAAAGCCAAACTTCCCAAAAATGGGGTTCTTGGAGCAACCTGGTCTATGGGAGGTGTCCCTGCCCATGGCAGGGGGTGGGATGGGATGGGCTTTAAGGTCCCTCCCAATCCACACCAGTCTGGGATTCTGCAAAAATCTACTGTCAAAAAGGACTTTTCCAATAAATAATCTGGGAAAATACAGAGTGACAGAAGTTCAGTCAGGAAACCAGCACCACCTGGAATAGTTTTCCTTCTCCAGAAAAGACAGAATTGCAGCATTCCATGACCTGCAGATGGCTGATCTCATATTCCTGTTGGGAAATTCCCTCTGTCCTGCTGTTACCAGCAGTGGAAACCACACGTGGTTTTTCCACAATCCTCATTCCTGACTGCTTTGGGATGGGAAGGACCTTAAACCTCATCCCATCCCACCCCTGCCATGGCAGGGACACCTCCCAGTGTCCCCAGTGTCCAGCCTGGCCTTGGGCACTGCCAGGGATGCAGGGGCAGCCCCAGCTGCTCTGGGCACCCTGTGCCAGGGCCTGCCCACCCTGCCAGGGAACAATTCCTCATTGCCAAGATCCCATCCAGCCCTGCCCTCTGGCACTGGGAGCCATTCCCTGGGTGCTGTCCCTGCAGGCCTTGTCCCCAGTCCCTCTGCAGCTCTCCTGGAGCCCCTGCAGGCCCTGCCAGGGGCTCTGAGCTCTCCCTGCAGCTTCTCCTGTCCAGGTGAGCCCCCCCAGCTCTCCCAGCCTGGCTCCAGAGGGGCTCCAGCCCCGTGGCTCCTCTGGGCTTCCTGCAGCAGCTCCAGGTCCTCCTGCTGCTGGATCTCAGGGCTGGAGGCTCTGCAGGTGGGGTCCCACCTGAGCAGAGCAGGGGAGCACACTCCTCCAAGGTGCTAAAGGAAGCAAAGTGTCCCCACCAGCCCCGAGCTCGTACCAACTTCTTCTGGCACCATCTGCAGGTCCTGGGACCACGGGGACACCAGTGGCCCTGCCTGGGCCCTCACACGCACGTAGTGGACATCATAGTACTCTGAGATGGCTGAGGAGAAGTCACAGCTTGTGCCAGCCACAGCCTGGCACCCTGGCAGCTCCTGCCAGCCCGTGGGGTCCGGCTCCGGCCTGCGGGACAGAGAACAGCCCAGATTAAACAACAGCCCCAGGAGAAACAACAGCCCCAGATAAACAACACCCCCAGGAGAAACACCCCAGATAAACAACAGCCCAGGAGAAACACTCCAGATAAACAACAGCCCCAGGAGAAACAACACCCCAGGAGAATCACCCCTAATAAATAACACCCCAGGAGAAACACCCCAAGAGAAACAACATCCCCAGGAGAAACACCCCAGATAAACAACACCCCAGATAAACAACAGCCCAGGAGAAACACCCCAGATAAACAACACCCCAAGAGAAACAACATCCCCAGGAGAAACACCCCAGATAAACAACACCCCAGGAGAAACAACACCCCAGGAGAAACAACAGCCCCAGATAAACAACACCCCCAGGAGAAACACCCCAGATAAACAACAGCCCAGGAGAAACACTCCAGATAAACAACAGCCCCAGGAGAAACAACACCCCAGGAGAATCACCCCTAATAAATAACACCCCAGGAGAAACACCCCAAGAGAAACAACATCCCCAGGAGAAACACCCCAGATAAACAACACCCCAGATAAACAACAGCCCAGGAGAAACACCCCAGATAAACAACACCCCAAGAGAAACAACATCCCCAGGAGAAACACCCCAGATAAACAACACCCCAGGAGAAACAACACCCCAGGAGAAACACCCCAGATAAACAACAGCCCAGGAGAAACACCCCAGATAACACCCCAGATAAACAACAGCCCAGGAGAAACAGCCCAGATAAACAACACCCCAGATAAACAACAGCCCCAGGAGAAACAACAGCTCCAGGAGAAACACTCCAGATAAACAACACCCCAGGAGAAACACCCCAGATAAACAACAGCCCCAGGAGAAACAGCCCAGATAAACAACACCCCAGGAGAAACACTCCAGATAAACAACACCCCAGGAGAAACACTCCAGATAAACAACACCCCAGGAGAAACAACAGCCCCAGGAGAAACAGCCCAGATAAACAACACCTCAGGAGAAACACTCCAGATAAACAACACCCCATATAAACAACACCCCAGGAGAAACAACAGCCCCAGGAGAAACACCCCAGATAAACAACACCCCAGGAGAAACACCCCAGAATAACAGTAATCCAGGAGAAACACCCCATATAAACAACAGCCCCAGGAGAAACAGCCTGGAATAAACAACACCCCCAGGACAAACATCCCAGAGAAACAATACCCCAGGAGAAACAATATCCCCAGGAGAAACAACAGCCCCAGGACAAACAACCCAGATAAATAATATCCCAGGAGAAACAACACCCACAGGAGAAACACCCTGGAATAAACAACACCCCAGGAGAAACAACAGCCCCAGGAGAAACAGCCCAGGATAAACACCCTGGGATCCCCAAAACCATCAGGACCAACACCCTGGGATGAAGAGCCTGTGAGACCCCAGGCTCACTCTTCAGACTGTGACAAGCTGAATAAGGGGGAGCAGGGCCAGTTCCAGTGCTGGGGTGCCTGGCAGACTGCCAGAAGCACACACTGACTGCAGCAGCTCTCAGGTACTTTCCCAGTGCATGGCTCAAATGCATTTCCATGCAGATTATACATATTCAACCTGCCCTGGAGTTCACATGCTCCAGGAATTCCTTATCTCAGTTTGACCCTTGATTTCATCTTCTTGGAGCACAATGCACATAGGATTTTGAGAGTTCTGTATTTCATTTCCTCACAGACAGGATTTTGAGTTTTGCATTTTATTTCCTCACAGACAGGATTTTGAGAGTTTTGTATTTTATTTCCTCACAGATGGCATTTTGAGAGTTTTGTATTTGATTTCCTCTGGTCTGTGGTTTGACAGTTACTGCTAGCCCAAGGGGCAGTGGTGGATTTTAATTTGCTCTTTTGGTGCTATTTGCCTGCTTCTTTCCAATGTTTTCTTATCATACAGACATTCTAGCCAGTTTTACAAGTACTTTCAATCAATATTAGCTATTTCACTATTGAATAGGTATTTCACTATTGTCAGTTAGTTACAAAAATACAGGCATTAGTTATTATTTCACAACTACAATTATTATTTTATTATTTTATTTTTAATAAGTTGATATTATTATTGTTATTATTATTATTATTATTTCTTCACTACTACAATTACTTCTGCAGAAGTTAATGTTATAATACACAGTGCATAATATTTTGCAAAAGCCTAAACTACAATATATATTTATCACACTAAGATATACAATCCACACAGGGATTAGAGTATTAACTATAAAAGGCTGACAAATTATTCTATATCAAAAGCAGTTAAAAGGAGATTACAAACTGTACTCCATCAAAATAATTTAGAAAAGCCAATAATAACAAAATACAATAACCACATAGTTATTTATAACACATCCCAGGATAAATAGCCTGGGATAAATCCAACCCACAACCACTGAAATTATTCTTATTTTCTTCTTAACTTTAATAAACATCACCCCTTTTCATGCTGCTTTATCAGCAGTGCAATCAGTGTTATCTCCTTATAAATTATCCTACAACTGCCAGAACACAGAATTACATCCTCAGGATTATTATATTTCTTAGCCTGGCAAAGATTTTATAATTCATGGGAAGAAATTTTAAAGTCTTGACAAAAGTGGGTACAGGAGCATAAAAGCAGCAGAACTCCACTAATCATAACATGAGCCAGGAATGGAAATTAAGGGAAAATAAAAAACAGAGGTGAAAAGTGGAGTTCAGCAATAATCAGCTTTTCAGCAGCTCTTTTTTAATCAACACACATCCACACCTCAGTGAAGAAAGAGATTTAAAGAGACATTTAAAATGTCTGGCCAAAAAAAGGAGGCACAGACTTGAAGCAGTAATTGTTTATCCTCAACTCCTACCTTGTCTTTCAGACCAGTCTGATATTTTTAAAATAAATCTATTTTCAAAGCAGCTGCTCTTATCCACATATTGGAAAATAAGAGCTATTTTTTTAAAATCCAAAATCCCAGAGTGGTTTGGGTTGGGAGGGATCTTAAAGCCCATCCTGCTCCACCCCTGCCATGGGACCTTCCACGATCCCAGGTTGCTCAGAATTTCAGTAACTTTATCTCAGAAATGTTTTTCAATATTTACCTGTCAGAAAAGTGCCACAAAATGCCTGTGCTCATGTGTGCAAAAGAACTGGGATATGGAACAACTGAAGGAAACCAAGGAAATATTTAAGAACAAATCTTAAATTGTTTTGTCTGGGCATTAAGCTTGCAGATGAGAAATGTGGGTTATTGAACTCTGAGAAATTAGATGAAAGTTATCCTGAAAATTCCCTCAAATCCTCTGTGTGTGGCCATAGCTACAGAAACCAAACAAACAAAAGAATAAATTTAGGAAGGACATTGAGACTCTTGAGCACATGCAGAGGGGCCAAGGAGGCTGGAGAGGGGCTGGGAACACAAACCCTGTGAGGAAGCCCTGAGGGAGCTGGGGGTGCTCAGCCTGGAGCAAAGGAGACTCAGGGCTGCCCTCCTCACTCTGCACAGCTCCTGAAAGGGGCCTGGGCTCAGCTGGCCCTGGGCTCTTTCTCCAGCAGCACTGACACAACCAGAGCACACAGCCTCCAGCTGCACCAAGGGAAATCCAGGCTGGAGAGCAGGGAAAAGGTTTTTCCAGCAAGGGTGAGAAAGTTCTGGAATGGCTGCCCGGGGAGGTGGTGGAGTCCCCATGCCTGGGTGTGTTTAACAAAGCCTGGATGTGGCACTGGGTGCCAGGGTTCAGTTGAGGGGTTGGGGCTGGGCTGGACTCGATGGCCTTGAAGGTCTCTCCCAACCTGGTCACTCTGGGATTCTGTAAATAAACCTAAATTCCACTTCTAAGTGTGCCACCAGATCTGCAAGAACCCTGCTGGTGGTTCAGCATTAGCAGCAAGCTCCATGTGATAAATAAACTGATTTATAAATAACCTCCCAGCAGGGAGACAAAGCTGGGCCAGCAGCAGCAGCAGCCAGGGGTGGCTCCAGGGGTGGCACTGACCACTGGAACTGTGCTGGGAATGTCACCCTGGGGTCACTCCCCCTGTAACCCCAGTGCCAGGAGCAGCAGCCAGGGATGGCACTGATCACTGGAACTGTGCTGGGAATGTCACCCTGGGGTCACTCCCCCTGTAACCCCAGTGCTGGCTCCCAGGGGTGGCACTCACCACTGGAACTGTGCTGGGAATGTCACCCTGGGCTCAGTGCCCCTGTAACCCAGTGCTGGCTCCCAGGGGTGGCTCCCAGGGGTGGCACTCACCACTGGAACTGTGCTGGGAATGTCACCCTGGGGTCACTCCCCCTGTAACCCAGTGCTGGCTCCCAGGGGTGGCACTCACCACTGGAACTGTGCTGGGAATGTCACCCTGGGCTCAGTGCCCCTGTAGTCCCAGTGCTGGCTCCCAGGGGTGGCACTCACCACTGGAACTGTGCTGGGAATGTCACCCTGGGCTCAGTGCCCCTGTAACCCAGTGCTGGCTCCCAGGGGTGGCACTCACCACTGGAACTGTGCTGGGAATGTCTCCCTGGGCTCAGTGCCCCTGTAACCCAGTGCTGGCTCCCAGGGGTGGCACTCACCACTGGAACTGTGCTGGGAATGTCACCCTGGGCTCAGTGCCCTGTAACCCAGTGCTGGCTCCCAGGGATGGCACTCACCACTGGAACTGTGCTGGGAATGTCTCCCTGGGCTCAGTGCCCCTGTAACCCAGTGCTGGCTCCCAGGGGTGGCTCCCAGGGATGGCACTGATCACTGGAACTGTGCTGGGAATGTCTCCCTGGGCTCAGTGCCCCTGTAGTCCCAGTGCTGGCTCCCAGGGGTGGCACTCACCACTGGAACTGTGCTGGGAATGTCTCCCTGGGCTCAGTGCCCTGTAACCCAGTGCTGGCTCCCAGGGATGGCACTAACCACTGGAACTGTGCTGGGAATGTCACCCTGGGCTCAGTGCCCCTGTAACCCAGTGCTGGCTCCCAGGGGTGGCTCCCAGGGGTGGCACTGACCACTGGAACTGTGCTGGGAATGTCACCCTGGGCTCAGTGCCCCTGTAACCCAGTGCTGGCTCCCAGGGGTGGCTCCCAGGGGTGGCACTCACCACTGGAACTGTGCTGGGAATGTCTCCCTGGGCTCAGTGTCCCTGTAGTCCCAGTGCTGGCTCCCAGGGGTGGCACTCACCACTGGAACTGTGCTGGGAATGTCACCCTGGGCTCAGTGCCCCTGTAGTCCCAGTGCTGGCTCCCAGGGGTGGCACTCACCACTGGAACTGTGCTGGGAATGTCTCCCTGGGCTCAGTGTCCCTGTAGTCCCAGTGCTGGCTCCCAGTGCTGGCTCCCAGGGGTGGCACTGACAACTGGAACTGTGCTGAGAATGTCACCCTGGGGTCACTCCCCCCGTAGTCCCAGCTCAGGGTGAAATTGGTGTTCACCACATGCACCTGAACGTTGTTGGGGCTCGGCAGGCTGCTCTGGCCTAGGAGAAACCAGCAAGCACAGAAATCAAATATTACAATCAGAAGAAAAGAAAATATAAAGATAAAATTAAAATAAAATGTTAAAATAAAATACTAAAATAAAAAGCAAAGAAAATATTAGGATACAATTAAGATAAAATATTACAAAAAAAAAAGAAAAGGAAATATTAAGATAAAATTAAAATAAAATAAAGTATTATGATAAAAAAGAAAAAATATAAAGATAAAATTAAAATAAAATGTTAAAATAAAATACTATAATAAAAACAAATAAAATATTAGGATATAATTAAGATAAAATATTACAATAAAAAGTAAAGAAAATATTAATATAAAATCAAAGAAAATATCACAATAAAATAAAATCTAAAATAAATACAATAATAATAAGTAAAATAAATACAATAAAATAAAGTAGAATAAAAATAAAATAAATAAAACTAAACAGTAAAAAATAAAATAGATATAAAATTAAAATAGAAAATAAAATAAAAATACATAAAATAAGTAAAACACAATAAAATATTAAAATAAAAATTTTAGCTATAATAAAAATTTTTAAAATGCAATAAAATTTAAATAAAATTTTAAAAAACAATAAAAATTAAAACAAAATAAATTTAAATAAATTAAAACAAAACAAAACAAACCACACCTCTTAGCTCTGACCTTCTATTTTATCTGAAGTTATTTATTAATGACTTCCCAACGGTCACGATTTTGAAGCCGTATCTGAAACTGCTGTTTGGGATCAGTTTGATATTTGACTGTATGAGGAGGAAACCAGAGCCAAGAAATCCCATTTCAGCTGGGCACTCTCTGGACAGCGATGGCTTATCCTGAACCTGACTTTGGGACAGGCTCTTCATTACAAACCCAATTTATTTTTCTACACAAGGTCCCTGCCCACAAAGGGATTGTGTGGAAGAGCAGAATGACTGAATTCTGCAAAATCCTTTAGGAGAATTAAGTTGGACCCACATGGGAAATAACTCCTGAAAGCACAAAACCACAAAAGCCAAATAATTCAATAAACCCCTGTGGCTCCCACTACAGAATTTATTGCCACAAGGCAGGAATTTGCTGCTCTTCTGACAGAGCAGGACAAACCCAGAGAATGCCAAAGGACGTTTGCTCAGAAAATAAGAAAACAAAGGGAAAACCAGATTTTTCCCCAGATATTTATCCAACAGATGGTTACAATTCAGCCAAAACCCTTTGTGACAACAAGGGCCCCACAGACTCCAACTGATAAAAACACTACTACATTTCAATTATCAGACTATTTTTGTTTGCCTTGGGTAGAAATTCAAATATTTAGTGTCTCTCTTCCATCCTTTCAAATCCTTAATTTCTTGAGCATGAGGCTTTCCAGAACTCCTTGTTAGACCTCAGCAGGCCAGATGGCAAAAAGGAGCAGTGGGAGGAGGATCCTGTCCAGATCCATGTTCTGAGCAGAGACTTTCTGTGCTTTAACCCAGCCTGTGCTTTAAGCCAGGCCAGTGTTTTGTACAGCTGGGAAGTACCCCAGGACGGTCATTTTCAACACAGCTCCCAACCAAGAGAAAGCTGAATGGCAGCAGCAATTCTTTAAGTTTTCCTTTTAAGCCAAATTTCAGCTTCCTGAAGGAATTTTATTGTTCTCTTTTGTATCCATTCCAAACGTTTCAACTTGCTTGAAGCAGTGTAAAAAAAAAATCCCAATAACTTGGCTGAGATTAATTAGTGGAGGTCTAATTTATGAGACATGACCTAATCTTTTCCTTCTAACTAGCACTGCTGTGCCATGAAACTTTGGGGGTTTCTAAAAACACCCAATAAAACAATGCTGTGTAATTTATGGGTAGAAGTTTGTGGTTTTTCTGCAGGTCTGATATTTTAACTCTCCCCTCTTTGCCCTGCACATTTTGCTGTTCAACACCACTGTACTTGTTTCCTGGAGTACTGAGCCAGTTTCTCCCAACAGACAGGAAGATATGATCCAGCATCCACCCTTTCATGTATTTCCCTATTTTCAACGAGTTTTGCACTTGCTTCCCTAAATTAATTCCACAAATCATTAATTTCCCAATGAACAGGTATGCAGGAAGGAAGGAGCAAACTCAGTGGTGTTTAATCAGCAGGGAAATTCTGTGATTTAGGTAGCAACTTGATATGCAAAAACAAGCCTAAAAATCAACACTTCTTCCTGGCTTATTTTATTAATGATTTAAAGCTAGACATTTAAAACTAATTCCTGTTTGTCCACTTGGGTGTGATGACACTTGGGTTCTGAGAAACCATTATAAGGGATTAGACTTCTGTGGAAAGAAGAGATTAAAAACCAGAAATGCTTTTAGCACACCTGCCCATCTCTTCCCCCTGTCAAATTCAAACAAACCAAACCAACCCAAACTGTTCCAATACACAAAAATTACTGCTTTGCTCAGGAGATGTTCGGCAACGTTGACGGTTGAAAATAATAATGATTATATAACAAAATCTGTTCAGCAACAGAAGAAAGCAAGAAATGGTAACAGAGCAAACCCCACAGTCAGGGGAAATCCCAGCAGGAGCACATGATGCTCGATGCTTACGACATCCCTGGGTGCAGGAGCCAGTGGAAAATTTCAGTCAACATTTCAGCAGAAGAAGGAAGAGGAGGCCCCTTGGACGGGACCTCAGGAAAGGCTCTGAAGGACCCTGATGTGCAAAGAAAGCCAGGGCCAGAAGCAGCAGCACAGGGAACAGCTGGGCTTGGGCCAGGGGAAGGGAGAGGTCACTGAAACAGAGCTATTGGAATTCCAGAGTGAGAATCACCGCTTAGGTGGGATCTCAGAGCCCACCTAGCCCCAGTGTCCAGCCTGGCCTTGGGCACTGCCAGGGGCTCCACAGCTGCTCTGGGAATTCCATCCCAGCCCCTGCCCACCCTGCCAGGGAACAATTCCTCATTCCCAATGTCCCATCCAGCCCTGCCCTCTGGCAGTCTAAAACCACTGTGCCATGTCCTGTCACTGCCTGCCTGTACAAACAGTCCCTCTGCCCTCCTTTGCAATGCTTCGCAATCCTTCCTCTTCCAGCAATAGGTTTGGGCAATAGCTGTTTTTTGCTGTGTAAGGACAAAAGACAGGGCACAAGCTCCCGCCCTGCGAGCCAAAACCCCCATCCCGCCATTCCACCTCTCATTTCCTCATTTATCCTTTAGGCTCTGCCAGACTGTGATTTCCAAGCCAAACAATGGGAATCCAAAGCTGTTTCACCTTCAGTGGCTGCAGCCGCTGCAATTCACCGGGAATGGCTGGGACTGGTGTGGAGGAGAGGGACAGTCCTCAGGGGAATGGGGACAGGAGCCAAGGAATGGCAGCCAGAGGGCAGGGCTGGATGGGATCTTGGCAATGAGGAATTGTTCCCTGGCAGGGTGGGCAGGCCCTGGCACAGGGTGCCCAGAGCAGCTGGGCCTGCCCCTGCATCCCTGGCAGTGCCCAAGGCCAGGCTGGGCACTGGGGACAGTGGAGCACCTGGGACAGTGGGAGGTGTCCCTGCCATGGCAGGGGTGGCTCTGGGTGGGCTCTGAGGTCCTTCCCAACCCAAACCCTGCTGCGATATCATGACAGCCCTGCAAACACGACACACCCTCACCGACACCGTTATCCTGCGCCGCATTCCCGCAGAGCTCCGGGACCGCAGCGGGACCCGCTCCCCGCTCCCCGCTCGGCCCCAGAGAGGGGCCCCGCACCGGCCCCGCTCCCTGAGAGCCCCGGGACCCACCTGCGCAGGGCAGCGGGGCCAGCAGCAGGGGCAGCACGGCCGCCAGCCAGCGCCCGCCCGGCACCCACAGCCGCCGCCGCTCCGCCGTCCCTCTACCCCACGGCTCCTCCGTCCATCCATCCCCGGGCTCCTCCGGCTCCTCCGTCCATCCCTCCCCGGGCTCCGCCGCCCCTCCAGCCCCGGGCTCCGCCATCCAGGGCAGCGCTGCCGGAAGCGCCGGCGGCGGCGCCTGCGCGGGGCGGCCCGGCAGCTGTGAGGGTGCTCGAGATTGTGTGAGGGAAGTCAGGGCCGTGAGGGGCGGTCAGGGCTGTGTGAGGGCGGTCAGGGCTGTGTGAGGGCGGTCCGAGTTGTGTCGGGGCTGTGAGGGGCGGTCAGGGCTGTGTGAGGGCGGTGTCGGGGCTGTGTGAGGGCGGTGTCGGGGCTGTGTGAGGGCGGTCCGAGTTGTGTCGGGGCTGTGAGGGGCGGTCAGGGCTGTGTGAGGGCGGTGTCGGGGCTGTGTGAGGGCGGTCCGAGCAGTATCGAGGCTTTGTCAGGGCAGTCAGGGCTGTGGGGAGCGGTCAGGGCTATGAGGGGCAGTCAGGGCTGTGCGAGGGCAGTCGGGGCTTTGTCAGGGCAGTGTGAGGTCTGTGTCGGGTTGGTGTCGCGGCACTGTCGGGGCTGTGCGAAGGCGCTCTGAGGGCGCTCAGGGCGCTCTGAGGGCGGTGTCGGGACCCGCCGGCCCTCGCGGTGCCGCCCCAGGCCCTGGCCGGTGTCACAAAGTGACAGCACAGCCCCAGCAGGGGACACACGGCGATCACCGGCCCTGCACGGCCCTTGGAACAAACCCAGAGCCACGGAGCTGCTCCGGGGAGAGCTCAGAGCCCCTGGCAGGGCCTGCAGGGGCTCCAGGAGAGCTGCAGAGGGACTGGGGACAAGGCCTGCAGGGACAGCACCCAGGGAATGGCTGCCAGTGCCAGAGGGCAGGGCTGGGTGGGATCTTGGCCATGAGGAATTGTTCCCTGGCAGGGTGGGCAGGCCCTGGCCCAGGGTGCCCAGAGCAGCTGGGGCTGCCCCTGCATCCCTGGCAGTGCCCAAGGCCAGGCTGGGCACTGGGGACAGTGGGAGGTGTCCCTGCCATGGCAGGGGTGGCACTGGGTGGGATTTAGGGTCCTTCCCAACCCAAACTATTCCATGATTCTGTGATTGTCTGGGGAGGAAGGAATCTGTCTTTAGCTGCAGTTTGTCCATTTCTCAATTGCTGTGGTGACCATTAAATGCAGTGTGAGTATTACAGCCCCTGAATTGGGGCTTGGGCTCAGCTCCCTTTTGCCAGCCACAAGTTCTGACCACAAGATTAGAGAGCTCCTCTTCTCTTTTTTTGTTTCATATTTTCCATGGGCCTGCCCAGCTGCAGGCTTGGGGAGGTAAAGTCAGGTGTTCACCTTTCACTTCCCACCCCTCAAACACAGACTCTTCAGTGGGCAGACCAATGGTTTCAGAGAGGAGGATTTGAAACTCTGGTGGGCAAAGGTCTGTGCCCTCAACGTCCTGGCTGTTATAATTGGGACAGGCTTGGCTTCTTAGGGAGAACACAGACTGACTTTTGTATAAAAATCTTCCTCACTGCTGCTGCTGCCTGTTGTGCCATGGGGTGCTGCACGTCTGCTGATCTCAGATCCCAGAATCCTGGAATCCCAGGATGGGTGAGGTTGGGAGGGACCACAGAGGGTCCCTGGTGCCACCTCCCTGCTCCAACAGGGCCATCCCAGAGCAGAGGGCACAGGGTGGGCCCAGGTGGCTCTGGAATGTCCCAGGGAGGAGACTCCAGCCCCTCTCTGGGCTCTGCTCCAGCTCAGGTCCCTGCCCAGGGCAGAAGCTGTGCCTCCTGTGCAGGGGAATTGCTGGGCTCAGGCCCTGCCCGTGGCTCTGGGGCCATTGCTGGGCCTGGAGCAGAGCCTGGGCCTGCTCTGACCTCTGCACACAGGGACACACACAGGGACAGCCACAGGGACAGGCAGGGCTGAGGCCCCTCTCTCTCCCTGGGGCTCCTCTCCAGGCTGAGCAGCCCCAGCTCCCCCAGGCTCTCCTGGGCACGGGGAGGCTCCAGGCCCCCGGGATTGCTGGGCCTGTAGAGATCAATGCAGGCTCTGGCAGTGTGTGAGGGGCATGGCTGAGGCACTGCTGGGCCTGTAGAGATCAATGCAGGCTCTGGCAGTGTGTGAGGGGCATGGCTGGGCCTGTAGAGATCAATGCAGGCTCTAACAGTGTGTGAGGGGCATGGCTGGGCCTGTAGAGATCAATGCAGGCTCTGGCAGTGTGTGAGGGGCATGGCTGGGTCTGTAGAGATCAATGCAGGCTCTAACAGTGTGTGAGGGGCATGGCTGAGGCACTGCTGGGCCTGTAGAGATCAATGCAGGCTCTGGCAGTGTGTGAGGGGCATGGCTGAGGCACTGCTGGGCCTGTAGAGATCAATGCAGGCTCTGGCAGTGTAGGCAGTGCTGGGCCTGAGGCAGGCTCAGCCTGTGAGGGTTGTTGTCACCTCCTGCCCCAAGAGCTGATAAGGAAGCCTGATTTTGGCATTTATTTATGTAACCACACCTCAGGGTCACCATTTTGAACCGAAACTGCTGAACCAGTCTGGCACTGCTAGAAACATTTGATAACCTATAAATATTTACAGTTTGTCTTCTGCTGAGTTTGAATAGAGCTTCCTCAGCGATGTCATAGAAGAAAGGAGCAGAAGCTGGTGCTGCCCAGGCTGTGAGGAGAGCAGTGCTATCTGCAGAGCACAGGCAGCCAGGGGGGACACTGTGTGTCCCTGTGGCCATTGATGTCTGTCCCAAACCTCTCCTGTGACAGAGGAAACGAGGCCTGCTGGAGTTTGGGCTCTGCTGGGTTTATTTCTGTTGGCTGACAGACAAAGGAGACATAATTTGGTGGTTTCTTCTCATGTCAGCTCTGGAACAGGATGAAAGGGGCAAATACAGCATTTCATCTTGTGTGAAAAGTGGAGGAACAGCGGTCCAGGAAGGAAGGACCTCAGGGAGCCCAAGGAGGGATCAGATCTATCTGCCCTTCCCAAGGGATATTTGTAATATCCCCCTTCTCAGGCAATATCACCTGGGGGGTTTTTTGTTTGTTTGATCATTAGAAAACTTTGCTCGTCTCTGTTTTATGGCAGTCCCGTAACTGCCTCCAGCTCCCTCAGGGACACAGGTGATTCATCCCCTGCCCTCAGAAGCCTTTCCCATGTTTTAACACTGTCATTACTCTGCCATCAGACCTCATCTCCCCAGACCACATAACGACATCTCCTCTCTGTTCCTTGTCCTCCTCCTGACCCCCCAGCCCTGCTCACAGCTCTGCACAAGGGCTCAGCAGTGCTGAGGAGCAGGCAGGATGATCCTTGGGGTCAGGCATTGGAATGATTGCCCCAGGGAGGTTTGGAGTCACTGTCTGTGGGAGTGTCCCAGAGGTGGCCTTGGGGACAGGGTTTGGGGTGATGCTGGTGCTGGGGTGGAACTGGGTGATCCCAAAGGGCTCTTCCAGCCTTGATGATCCTGGGATTAGGTTTGGAAGGACAGAAGTGTCCTAGGTGGCAACAACCAGGCTGAAAGAGTGAGGAAAGCCCAGCATAAACCTCTGCTTACAGCCTGTGGTGCCTTCCAAATGTGTGATTTTGAACACATCTCTAAGTTCCATCTTCATGGAGAATATTCAGAATCCCAGACTGGCTTGGGCTGGGAGGGACCCCAAATCCCACCCAGTGCCACCCCTGCCATGGCAGGGACACCTCCCACTGTCCCCAGTGCCCAGCCTGGCCTTGGGCACTGCCAGGGATGCAGGGGCAGCCCCAGCTGCTCTGGGCACCCTGTGCCAGGGCCTGCCCACCCTGCCAGGGAACAATTCCTCATGGCCAAGATCCCACCCAGCCCTGCCCTCTGGCACTGGCAGCCATTCCCTGGGTGCTGTCCCTGCAGGCCTTGTCCCCAGTCCCTCTGCAGCTCTCCTGGAGCCCCTGCAGGCCCTGCCAGGGGCTCTCAGCTCTCCCTGCAGCTGCTCCTCTCCAGGCTGGAATTTCACAGAGATCAGTGAGCTCTGCCCTGTTCAGGGGAGTTCCAGAGCCTGGTTCCACCCCTGGGCCAGCAGGGCTGAGAACCCAACCCAGTGCAAATCCTCTTGTCAGGACACTGACCCAGGGGGAGAAGCAGATCCCTCCCTGAGGAGCTCTAACGTGGCTTCAGAAGCTGCCACAGAGCCAGAGGGGCAGAGAGGAGGGGGTGGAAGTTAGAGAGCAGAGCCGAGTGGCTGCTGGCAGAGCTGATGGGGAAATGGAAGAACTGCAAGTTGTTCACCAGGTTCCTTGGTGGTGTTGTTCTATTTCTAGAGTCCCATAATGCTGTTATCAGATTTCTAGAGTCCATTCCTCCTTGGTGCATTCTTATGGCTGCAGATCTTCACAGCACAGACTCCTCCTGCATGTTGTTCTCTCTCAGTTCAGGGCTCCTCCAAGGCTCTCCCTGACTGCCCAACCAGCCCCCTTTTATCCCAGTTATCTCCATTGGTCACAGCTGCAGCCCATCAAGGACAACCAGGACCTCTGGGGCAAAGCCTCTATACAGATGTTCAAGTACAATACTTCTATTTTGCCAGGACTCAAAGGCCACCTCTACTATATTTCCCCCTTTTCACTTACTTACAGAACCAGGTTTTACATATAAATATTTAGATGATATTCAGGTACAATACTTCTATTTTGCTAGGACTCAAGGGCCACCTCTACTATCCCTTGGTGCTTTCTGCAGTGGGGAGCCCTGGGTTGGTGATGCTGGAGCGAGGGTTTCCTCTCTCAGGCTTCCCCAGGGCTTCTCTCCTGGCTCTGTGATGCCATCATCATCATTGCATGCCCTCAGTGTCTGCAGTGATGGCTTGAGGGAATGCACAATGAGCTTCAGGAACTCCAGTCCCTAAGGAAGGGATATTTCCAGTATGTTGCTCACAGGTGGCCCAAAGCCTGTGGATTATTCACAGCTCTTCTGTAAAGCTGCTCTCTGCAGCCCTGCTGGTCACAGCAGCACCATCTCAGGGGAAGAGCCTTGCTCTGCATGCCACTGATTCAATAACAATGTTCTAGGATGATGGATCCTAGAAAATGACATTTTGCCAGGTGATAATGGATCTCTCCCAGTCTGCCTCAGAAAAAAAAAAGGCACGAAGCGTTTCTGGTTAAGAATCCATTGAAAAGCTTTTCTAGAGCTTGGTATGGATTTTTGTGAAAGCCACTCTGGCTCTGCTGTTCAGTGGGACTCGTTCTGGACTGGGGGGGACCTGCTGGACAGGGAAGATCCCAGTTCCCAACAGGAGAGATGAAAATGTGCAGCTGGGGCTGGCTGACCCTGATGGTGTCCCTGACCCCCTGGGTGCTCCTGGGTTCCTCTTTCTCCCTTCACTCCCATGACTGGAATTCTCTGAACTGTTCCTTTCTGCCTTCCCTCATTGCCCTCTCCTGGAATCTGTTTTGCTGACCACAAGCTCAGACTCTTCTCCTTCACTTTTCCCCACTTCCCTATTCCTTAATCATCCCACTTTTCTTTGCATTTCAGGTCTGAAATCCTTTCCCAAGCGCTCCCAGGCCTTCAAGGGCTCTGTTTTCTCTCTGGCTTTGCCAGAACATGCTGTACCAGGGTAAGCAGCCTCCAGCATCCCTCTGTACTTGCAGTTTACATCAGCACATGGTCAAAGTTCACCTGATTTATTGACTTGTTGTCACTGTAATGTTCACAAGCTCAGCTCAAGATGAACTCTCCTGTGAATTACTGCTTCCCTCTAAATTATTGCTCCTCATCTAAATTATTTCTGTCCTGTGGGGCCACCCAGCCCATGTGGGGACAGGCAGAGGGGACAGGCAGATGCTGTCCCTTGTCCCCAGGCCTGGCTCATGCTGTGACTCTGAGGGGAGCTGTGGCACAGGTAGAGGCCTCTCACCTACAAAAGCTTTCCTGGGTGTGGGGCAGGAAGATTTCTGCAGCAAGCCAAAGTGTATGTCAGCCTGAAAAACACATCTGGGTTGATTTTAGCAGCCCCTAAATCCTGGAAGTGTCCCAGGCTGTGGGGCAGGGGCTGCTCCCAGCCCCATCCAGCCTGGCCTTGGGCACTGCCCGGGATCCAGGGGCAGCCCAGCTGCTCTGGGCACCCTGTGCCATGATGTCCCTGCAGACACTGGGATATCCCTGTTCTGCCCTGCTGTGCCTCAGCAGTGAGCCTGCACTGCATTGGCACTGCCTTATCTCTGCCTTATCAGCCCTCAGCAGAGCCTTGGAGCACCATGGATTCCAGCCCTGACAGGAACTCACTGTCCTGTGCAAAGCAGCTGCTGGAGAGGGGAAAGCAGCTCCAGCAGCACTGAGGGAGGGGCAGGGATCTCCAGCCCCCCTCAGCTCCATGTGCACTGGGCATTTTGCCACTCTAAAAGCCAAAATAAAAGGGGAACAAAGGGGGAAGAAAGCAAATACAGAAAGAAGCTGTGGGAGGAGGGACAGGGAACACACAGGGAGCTGGACTGGTTCCTTGGAGTGGTGATCCAGACACAGGAACAGCATTCCCAGAGCAGCCTTGGGGAGAGGTGAGAAAAGAACCAATGAAACAAAATCTCTTGGGAAAAAATCAATTCAATAAATTTCATATTCCCTGTGAAAGCAGAATGTGACCAAAATTAAAAAGTGCAGAAAAACCAGGTACAGATTCCACAGAATCCCAGAATCCCCAGATCCCTGGGGCTGGCCCAGCCCTGCCAGCCCATGCAGTGCCAGCTGTGCCCCATGGGCACCTTGTCCCCAGCCCAGAGCACTCAGTGCCACCTGCAGGGGACACCTGCAGGGCTGGGCACTGCAAAGCTCCCTGGGCAGCCCCTGCCAAGGCCTGAGCTCCCTTGCCATGGGCAAATTGCTGCTGCTGTCCAAGCTGAGCCTGCCCTGGCCCAGCCTGAGGCCGTTCCCCTCTGCTCCTGTCCCTGTGCCCTGGGAGCAGAGCCCGACCCCCCCGGCTGTGCCCTCCTGGCAGGGACTTGGGGACACTGAGGGTCCCCCTGAGCCCCCTCTGAAGGGAGCTGGGAGATGAAAACTGATGGAATCAATTCCTGATTTCTTCCTGTAACCACTCCCAAAAAGTTGATATTTACCCATCAATAACAAACACCAGCCCCAGAACCATGCAATTCCCACATCAGGGGGAGACACAACTTCACTCCTGGAAGGTTCCTTTGGTGACAGAATTTAATTTCTCACTCTGACGTTGGTGCAGTGGCACAAACCCAGTCCATGCCCTGTGCCAGGGCCCCACTTCTGCCCCAGTGCTGGGTCCAGCCTTTCCCCACCTGTGCACTGAGGCTGGCTTTGGAGCAGGGAGTCACAGCTCCCTGGATTTTAAAATCAAGCATACACATCAGCAGATAATTAAAATGAACCTCATTTAATTCCCACTTCAGCTGCCAAGTTTCCCACAGACATCAGTTCACCCCACCCTAAAAACTTCACAACTTTGCATCAGGGAAGAATAAATTCCATAGAAAGATGATGCCAATGGGGATATCCTTAAAAACACATCATTTCTCATTAAAAAAAAATAAACCCCATCTTTTCTTAAAAATAAACCAGGTATTTCCTTACAAAATACTAATTCCTTTTATAAACATTTTGATTCGTTTTTGCAATAAATAGTTCACCAAAGTTTAATTAATTAGTATTATATATAAATATGACATTTCCTTTTTAGTGTCATAATCAGTGCCAGAATTGCTACAATTGCTCAGGGAGCCACAACCAGCAGTGGCAAAAGTTATGGATCATTTAATTCCTCATTTAGAGCCAAGTTTCTTGTACTTAAAAAAATAAAATGGTTCTGTCAAAAGTCTGTGACGCCGTGTTTGTCTGTGGGGTTTTCCTGCTGGAAAACAGCAATGAGACAAACCCCAAAGTCCATTTGCTTCTCCTTTTCCAAGGAAGAACGAGGAGGATCTTTGGGCTTTCCTGAGGCTGCTCCCACTCCTGAGTCAGTCTCCTTGTGCAGGGTCCTGAGGGAGCTCTGGTGTCCTGCTGGCCCCATCCCCAGCCCCTCCAGGGAGGGTTTGGGATTGCTCTGCAATCACTGTCAGCTTGTCACAAACCAGCAGCTCTTCTCGGGGAGGGAAAGGCTGTGGAGCACCAGGAGGTTTGCTCAGAAACTGGGAAACAAAGAGGAAGTGAAGATCAGGTGTCTGCAGCTGCCCCGTCCTGTTTGCTCAGGAGCACTGGGGTTATCAAACACACTGGGGTAATTAAACAACAAACACTGGGATTGTTCTGCATGCAGCAAGCAGCTTTCTCAGCCCTTACAAGTCCCACAGGGCCAACAGTGTCACATCCTCCCTAAAATCCTGTTCCAGGCTTGGGAGCAAGATGCAAGTGCCTCTCAAGAATAACCCCAGGGCTCGGAGTCTTTCTGGGACAGAAACTTGAAAAAAATCCAAGTTTTGATTGGGAACAAACACCAAATGGTAACTGGGCTGTAGGGGAAGAGAGATTTGCTGAGAACCCTCCCCTCTGGCCATTCCCTGGCTCCTGTTCCTCCAGCCTTGTCCCCAGTCCCTGTCCAGCTCTCCTGGAGCCCCTTCAGGCCCTGCAAGGCCACCACGAGGCCACCCCAGAGCCTTTCCTTCCCCAGGCTGAGCAATCCCAGCTCTCCCAGCCTTTCCTCAGAGCTGCTCCATCCCTCTGCTCACCCCCAGACAAAACAATTCTGAACTGAACCTGGAATGAGAAACCAGCTGCTGTCAGGAGTGCTGGGCACTGCAGGTACAGAGATCAGCACAAATACCCTCACTGGCAGACCCTTTTCCACCAAACTGGGACTGGGAATGTTGTGGCCCAAACCTGCAAGTGAAACATCCCCTAGTGAAAGCACTGCCTTGGCCAAAGCACATTCTGGGGAGGCACAGCTGCCCTCTGATTCCTGGGATGGCACCAGCCCAGAGCTCTCCCTGTCCTTAGAGGCACCTGCAGCAAAGGAACCTCGAGCACTCCTGTGTGGATCTGGTGCTGCTGAGCTCCAGGGATGCAGGGACAGCACCCAGGGAATGGCTGCCAGTGCCAGAGGGCAGGGCTGGGTGGGATCTTGGCAATGAGGAATTGTTCCCTGGCAGGGTGGGCAGGGGCTGGGCTGGAATTCCCAGATTTGCTGGGGCTGTCCCTGGATCCCTGGCAGTGCCCAAGGCCAGGTTGGAGCAGCCTGGGACAGTGGGAGGTGTCCCTGCCATGGCAGGGGTGGCACTGGGTGGGATTTGAGGTTCCTCCCATCCCAACCCAGTTGGGATTCTGTGATTCCATGACACTCCTGGTGCTGAGCACGTGTTCAGGAGCAGGAGCCAAAGTCAGCTGCAAACCTGGGGGTGCTGAGCTCTGAGTGAGTGAGAATGAAAGCCCCAGAGGAGCTGCAGGGACTCAGGAGAGCACAGGAGGGACAGGGGTACTTTGTACATCCTTGTTTCTGGGAGGGGACCCTGTGCAGCCTCTGTCCTCTGGCAGTGTGACAGGGGCAGGGGGTCCCCATCAGCATTGGCTGCTGGCACTGCTCTCCTTTTAGCTGGAATTTTCAGACTCCATAGAATCACAGATTCCCACAATGGTTTGGGTTGGATGGAACCCCAAAGCTCTTCCCGTGGCCAGGGACACCTTCCACAGCCCAGGCTGCTCTGGTACAGCTGATCCAGCCCAGGTTCCTTCCTCAGACACTTTCCTGAAGTTTAAACTTGTGATTACACTCGTGACAGGACTTTGCTGCAGGAGAAAAAAGGAGCTGGTTTAAGTCTAAAAGGAGGCAGGAGAGACAGAGATTTCTGTTGTTCATTGGCCAAATGAGGAACTGAAGTTGACACCTGGTACTCTCTCACTTCAAAATCAACAAACCCATCCTGTTTCTGAGCCATAAAAAGCTGGTGATTACAAATTACAGACCACTGACTATCAGGTGCCAGTGAAAGGAAGCAAAATAAAAGAAGCTCTAAATGTTTTGGCACTGAGAGCCTTAAAAAAACCAAGTGGCTCTGCTGGAAAGGCTGATTTTCACATGTTAGGCAGGAAACAAACCTCTTTCAAGTGTTCTGGGAAAATGTAGGAAGGGCAGAAAACATGTTTGATGAGTCTGTACACATAAAAACTGAAGAAGAAACAAACGGTGACAGCTGTGCCCACGACCAGCATGGACCCCACCAGAACAGTCACAATGATCCACACAGGGGTTACACCTGCCAGAGACAAGGGAAAAAACCAATTAAAACTGTCATTATTCACTGCTGAGTGATTATTTTCAAACCATCACTTTCTCCATGGAATGCCCCTGGGTCCCTGCAGTGCCCCAGGCCAGGCTGGGCATGGGGCTGGAGCAGCCTGGCACAGTGGGAGCTGTCCCTGCCATGGCTGGGCTGGCCCTGCTGGGCTCTGAGGTCCCTCCCAGCCATCCCAGGGTGGTTCCAGGATCCCCAGCAGCTCCCAGGTTACCATTGTGGGTTGTCTGCTCACAGAGCTCCCTGCTCAGCTGCCCTGTCTTGTTCCACTCGGGAATCAGCGCCTGCACCTGGACACAGTAAACTGTCCATGGCTCCAGCTGGGCCAGGATCTCTGAGCTTGTGCCTGGTGTCCACCTGAAGCTGCCTGCAAACACACAAACACACCAAAGGGAAGCTGGGGGAGCAGCTAAGGAACAACCAAGGAATTGCAATTACAATTAAATTACAACTGCACTGAATTACAATTACAATTACTTACTGTACAGCCATCCACACCACTGCCCTTTGGGCTCTTTCCAGCAGCACTAACAAAGTTTCAGACTAATGAGGGATGATAAATGAGATCTGGTGGCAGCCAGAAACTGTCAGCCCAACCAAATGAGATCAGCTAGGAGCACAGCTACACACAAACACCATCCAGCTGCAGAGAGAGCAAGTGGGGTGGAGCAACAGCACAAGAGGAAAAGGCCTCAGGTTGTGCCAGGGGAGTTTTAGATTAGGAAACATCTTTAAACATTTTTAAAACTCCAGGGGGGTTTTAGATTAGGGACATTAGGAAAAATTCCTTCACTGAAAAAGCTGTTGAGGCCTGGAATAGGCTGCCCAGAGAAATGGTGCAGCCCCCACCCCTGGAAGTGTTAAAAATGTGTAGATGTGGCACTTGGGGACATGGGGTAGTGGTGAACACGGGCTGCTGGTTAATGGCTGGAACTGAGGGCTCTTCCAACCTTCCCAGCTCTGTGATTCTGTGATCTGTCATCTAGGCAAACAAACAAAAAAAAAAAAAGAAAGGAAGAAAGAAAGGAAATATTCCTGGGAGCTGTGAGGAGGCTGAGCAGATGAATTTGCTGCTCAGGATCACTTATGTCCCTGTAACTGCAACAGGAGACTCTCCAGGCAGCTTTCAATCCTGGAGCAAGCACCCAGCTCAGAAATAGCCTGTGGAGCTCCCCAGCCCTGCCTGTGCCTCTGGGATCCCTGGGCAATGTCCCAGACTGCAGCTGGAAGTGCTGCAGGCACAGACTCCAGGTGCAGTGCTGTTCCTCTGGTGACTGCACTGAGGGCATCCCAGGGGCAGGAACACCTCATTGCTCAGGAGCCTGGGAGTGGAAACCAGGCTGCTGGGTGGGAAATGAGGGCCCCTGATTTCTGGAACTGAATGGCAAAGCACTGTGAGGGTAACAGATACAAATCAGAGTTACACCTGCTAGAGTCCATTCTATAAAACTGCACTGATGGAAAAGCACTCATCAACTGGGACTGGCTGCTGGTCAGAGGCTTCCTGTGTGCCTGAAACAGAGGCCAAAATGCTCTAATTAACACATTATTAATGATCTTTCTCCATGCACTGTGTATGGAGGAGCAGAACTGCCTGTGGAAGAGGCTGGCCCTGACAGGGAGAAAGGGAACTGCAGTGGATACAAACTGCAGAGCTGCAGGTGGCCATATGCAGGAAATGAAAGCCTTCCCCATTTTAGACATCTTTGGGGGTAAAAAAACCAAAGTCCCACTGAGAGGGAAAAAACACAGAGTTAATGGTAATTATGGAAAGAGAAAATTCTGTCCATGCTGCTGTGTAACTACACAGCTCCTGCACTTACTCTGAGTCTGTAGTGAACAGCTTGATTAACTGTAATTAGGAGAGATCCCTTTTTACTCTTAGAATCACAGAATCCCACACTGGGATGGGTTGGAGGGAC